GCCTTGTAACAAGCCTAAGTCACATTTCTGCTCGTGAACTGACTCCCAAGTTCTTACAAATCAAAGAGGAGGGCACAGCAGGACTGTGAGAGCACAGAGCTCTACTGTTCCAAGTTTTCCTCACATCAAACAAGTCGCTTCACAGAAGCTGCTGTGTGCCTTAAGGCTATTTCCTTTGGTCAGAACACACATTAAACAGTCACTCTGGTGGCACGTTACAATATCAAGTAGCACATTTAAAGTAACTCCCTGCATGAAGCTACAAGCCACTCGTTTAATAGTGACATGAGTGGCTATGGACTGAAGCGTATGTACCAGTATCTGTTGTTAGAGACGAGCAAAGTCAACACCCTGAGCGGCTCATGTGATATACACACTGTGTACAGGACGGTGTTTGAAGTTGCAAATACTTAGAACAGTGAATAGGGGAAAAAACGTTCGTTACTGAATCAGGAAGTATAGATGCGACAAGCACAGACAGAGAGGTCTTCACAACAGCCTGCGGGCATTCAATACCGGGAAACAGCTCAGTGATTTTCAACTGCACTGGATAAATCAATACATGAATTCAATATTTCAGTCAGCTACTCCCTTATTTACGTACAGTCGACACTGTGCCTGGACCACGTACAGAGGGTAGGTAAGCTTAAGTAACAGTAGTGCAGTCTGAGGTAATCCAATCTACTCCCGTGCATACTGACATCAGACTGGATTCACGGCTGAGCTACGAGAACATATAGTTTTGTTGTAAACCAATGATTTACTTTTGCAGGTATAAATCCCGCTAAATAGAGCAACCCATTTGTCAACGTTTTAGTGGCTTCGTGACAACATACTGTTCCTGAATCAGTATTTTTAATGGTTCACATGCAGTTACTTTTGGAAGGATTCATATCCCCTTAGTGTGATTTAGCAAAACATTTATGCAAGATTTGTTCAGATAAATGACTATACAAACAAATGTTTAATACATATAAACCATCCTCAAGCCAGATAAGTCATAGATGGTCCAATTCAATCAACTCAGCTACAGACATTTAATCATTTTCTTTTTTGCTTTGTCACTCTTCCAGCAACAAAATCCTCTATCTGATGGCAGTTTCATATTTTTTCACTTCAAAAGTCATTTTAAAAATATATTTATATAAAAAAACAAGTTGAAATGAAAACACGTCAATATAGTTTATGGACTGCTGTGCACGTCACATACAGGACATATACTACGGCTACTCCTGGGTATATAGTAGACAACCGAATGCAGTGAAGAACTAAGTGTTAGATAAAATCTTGGGCCTGACATGTTTTTTGCATTAACGTCCAACATCTGGGGATGCTCAGCACGGCTAAACACAGCTATCCCAAATGTCACATCACTCAATCGCTACTACAGTCACACTTGTTTAGTACACACAAATTCACTCTAACTTATCCGCCTGTGCAACATTTGCTCTTTCTGCTCAGACCCAACCGGACCGAACGGGAGGACAATGCCCAGAGGTCTACCAATAACAATAGATGCAGCTATGACGGCGCGTATTCAGCTATGGCGCTCCCTGAATACTAAAATGTTAATATCCAGCACGGAAGAATAGTCACAGTAAATAACAACTATATCAGCTTGAACTAGATTGAGGTTACCTTCACTAGTTTATTCAAAATGGAAAGTCTCGCTCACCACCACCCAGCATTGTTTCTCAGATCTTATTTTAATGTCACAAAGGCTTCAACCATGATTTACAACGTGTTACCAAAAGGGAATTTGAGGTGTGTGTGTGCTGTGAGCTATGACAAGCCAACAGCGGGTTCCTGAGTAAACACCATTGCAACACGACCATCTGTGCCCACTCCCAGCGTTAGAAAAAGAACCGCTAACATCTGCTGTGGCCCCCACTAGGGCCGCCATTTTCAAGCCTATTATCAGTAATAAAACTTGTGCACGTAAGCGTTTATCTATAAAACTCCGTTAGCTAATTTCATATCTGTTTTCCAAGCGCGTCTTGTCCGCTCAGATTGTTTTCTGGAGCAAAGCTGCCCAGGGCACGACTGGCTTCAGGGAGATTTGAGGGACGTTATGGCGAGCTGCTATCAGGGCCAAAGCTTGAACATTTTAAACTGAACATCAATGTAATGTTCCAGCGCAATTTTCAGTGCAATTTAACTTTCTTCCTCAGCTTGTTTACAGGCTTGGTTCTATTTTCAAAACAAAGGTTCTGCCCAAGATTGTTGGGGTTAAGGGGTTTTTCATTGTGAGGAGAAACACAGATGTCGTCAAAGACCACAGCACTACAGAAAACAGAAGCTTCAGCTGGGATTCTTGGATAACCTCGAAGCGTTTGGCTTACGGATATTTCCCCAGTGTGTCATAATTTAACGGTCACTCACACTTGCATGTTTGAGATTAATTGGCAGCTTTGATGGACTTCCACGTAGACAGTTCAGTAGACGTCGTGGCCACTGCTTGTGCTGACCTGTGAACTGTTCACTAAAAGGTTTTGCTTCCCACAATGCAACAATCAAGACAATCAGAGAGGCCATAGGTACTGAAGCTGTGCCAGCATTTCATTTCATTTCATGTGTGAAGACAACATTACTGTGTTTATTCATTGTCTTGTGACTGCTCTGCTGAGAGCTGCAAATCTCCTTCTTTGATCTGACCTTGATTACAGACAGTAATAGCATCAAAACAACAGTGTTTGCCCTTTGAGGCAAAAAAACCCCCCAAAGAACTTACATAACGTTTCATATGTTGACTTTCACTGAATGCAAAATAACTTTTCGTATGTTTGTGCAGAAGATCTTCAGCTGTTTATGTTAGTCAATGTTTTGACTTTTGTTTCATAGGGTAAGTGTAATTTTTTTGTTCGATACTGAGCATTTTTGATGTGAGGTTTTTCAATCTTCATATGTTTCAGCAACAAGAAACTACGGACGCCCCCCAACTTCTTCATCATGAACTTGGCAGTCAGTGACTTTCTCATGGCGATTACACAGTCACCCATCTTCTTTGTGAACTCCCTTTATAAGGGTTGGATTTTCGGTGAAACAGGTATTGTTTTTTTTACAGTCAGTTATACTGCTGGATATAGATTTAATCCATATGTTGTTTTAGTATCGTACAATTTGGATAGATAGAAACTGGTTTCCAAAATGTAATAACAACCCATCACATTGTGTCATTTTTTGACAAATCTCCACATTTGTGCAAAGTTAGAATCTGCAGATGATGATTTCTTCATGCTCCAAAAAGGAAAACAAACTTGTTAATAGCATGTTTTCTTCTTTATTTTTCCCCAACAGGCTGTAAAATCTATGCATTCTGTGGGGCTTTGTTTGGAATCACATCAATGATAAACCTTCTGGCCATCTCGGTAGACCGTTATATTGTCATCACCAAGCCCCTGCACGCCATACGATGGACCTCCACCAGACGCACTTGCCTCATCATGGCCTTGGTCTGGATGTATTCACTGGCCTGGAGTCTTGCGCCGCTTTTGGGCTGGAGTAAGTAACTTCCTCTTCATCCCTTAGTGTTTTAAACCAACCGTCTTTTTCCTCAAACTTCTAGACTGTTTACAAATTCCTTTTTTTATCGGGTTCTGTCACTTTTCTAAAGGTTCATATATACCAGAGGGCCTGATGACTTCATGCACATGGGACTACGTGACATCCACTCCAGCCAATAAAAGTTACACTTTGATGTTGTGCTGCTTCGTGTTCTTCATCCCTCTGGGCATTATATCCTATTGTTATTTGTGCATGTTCCTGGCAATTCGACAGGCGAGCAGGTAAACACGTTAACATAAATGAATTACCAGAACTTAAACACTGTTGTTTAACTTAACCCTCTGAACCCTGAGCAGTTTCTGGGCATTTTTCTTGTCATACTTTTACTTGTGAGGGCTCATTTTTCACTGCAACACAAAGTCCTGCACCTCTATGGAAACAGCACAACTACAGACAAAAGTACAGAGAGCTTAAAATGTCATTTTTGTATCATAGAAACCCAAATTTGAATCATTTATCTTTACAAAAATTGAAAAAAATCTGTGGTCAATGCATAAAACATTTTATTCAAGGTGTTACATGCTGGTAAAAATGCTAACACTACATTCTACAGATATTTCACTACTTGTATTTTTAATTTGTCCCCATACTTCAGCTTAAAAGTCATTTCTTTGGTCACAAAACTGTTGCAGCAGAGTCAGTCATGGCTTCATGGTTGCAGTGAAGAGCAAAGAATTTTCATTTTTTTTCTAGAAGCTGGTTAAAGCAAAATATTTTTTTGGGAAAAAAATTAAACAAGACACAAATNAGTGGGGGTTACCGGGAACGCCTTGGTCATGTACGCCTTTTTCTGGTAAGTCCCTCTCCTTATGGAAATGATGATGGTGAAAAAAATCTGTCATTATCAACTTTAGAGCTGCATAAGCCAGCCAGCTGTAGCCTGCTAGCCTTTTCTTCTTAAAACTAGATCTTTGTTAGCCTAATAGCTGTTGCATTTTCATCATCATTTAAAATCCCTCTCCTGCCTGTTTACATTACAACCTGTGATTGTTATCTAAGGAGCTGGTCTGGAAGAAAGTGTCACTCCAAATTAATATTAAAGCAAGTGAACATCACCTCTTTACGTCACTCAAAATCTGTCATTCAATGTCCTCTATTGTCCTTTTTGAAAAACTGATATCAAGCATGCTAGGTCTTGAAACAAAAAATGAGAGTTTTGACGTCTTTACTCTCCATAATGAGAAGACTGAACAGGGAATTTGAATAAAACCCCGACATCTTTAGTATTATTTGGAGTACAGCCTCTTCCTGTTATACGTTTACATCCTGGATCATCACACAAGTAAAGAATGCTTTTGTATGTAAAAGAAGAATACAGTCGTGACTCGATAATCCGACCCTTAACAATCCGAAAACCTTGCTATCTGATAGGTTTTTAGGAAAAATGAACAGAACTCATGAAAAATAGTCTTAACATACCGACAGCCTTGGATTCTGACTCCGACATGACATTTTATGTCACAAATCAGGATAATGGCGTATTATCTGACTGAATTATCAGACTGCAGGCCTTTTTCCCTTTTTTTTTTTTTGTGAAATCAGATTTTTTTGTGAGTTCGTTCACATTTCCAATTAAATGTGACTTGTATGTGATCTGCTGTGTGAACTTCATACAACCCCAAAGTGTCCCGCATGCGCAGAAGAGGACACAACGATGTCACATACAGCGAGCGTGCTCAGTGTTTACGGATGTAAACACGGATGGTGGCGGTGGCGCTGTCCTAAACTAGCATCAGCAGTCAAGTACTGCCTGTGCGTTCTGGCCACTTCCACCCCATGCTCCCAGTGCTCCCCTGGGGTGGAAGTGTCCCCCGACCGCGCAGAATATTCGGATATTCATCATTAATTGGGCCTGAATATCCAGAGACCAGAAAGTACCATTGGGACCAGCCCTACTAGTTATTATAACAACTATGAACAATAATGAACAACAAATGAGCCTTCCAGCATCAAGCCCTCCTTGTATTTCGACCTCCGTCTTGACAATCCGACAGCCTTGCTATCTGACGTAAAAGAAGGTTTTACATTTAGTGTCGGATTATCGAGTCACGACTGTACATTTGAATACTTTAAAAAGATTTTATACCCATCATAAGAAGCTTTGTGTGCAACATTTGCCTCATTTTTAAAAATTTAATTCAAAATTCTATTTTAAATATATTGNAGATGCTGCGTCACAGATCAGTAGATCACTGACTGAGTTGAAAATCCGACAGTTCTTCCTGTTTTTACAGTTTTATTGACAAAATGCCTTTTCAAACCTTGGCTTTGGGGTTCAGAGGGTTAATACGTGCATACTGTATCAAAAACGTGCCGACTACAGCTGCTCTATAATGTGACATCTTTACGTCAACAATATACAATATGTTGTTTCAAAAGAGGCTTGACATGTATGCAGGTGCAATTTGTAGAATTAAATTGTGAAGTGGCTTCCATATTGCTTTCATCTCATTCGATTTCTTTGCCTTTCTGTTGTTTTGTCTGTTCTTCAGATTCTCTCTGATTGTATTGCCTGTACAGCAGAACCCCTCACGTGCTACCTCGACAGCTGTTGCATGTTTCTAAATTCACCTATCGTCATTGGACCGCAGCTTTTTTTTTTTTTTTTTTTAACTAAAAATGTCATATTAAGTTAATAAAAACAAATTCATTCAAATATCTCCCCTCTTTTGCTACAACTGGAGGGACAAAACCTTTAGTATTGACCAAAATGCCTGAAAGCAACATTAGTTCAAGCGAGGCTAGTTTCACCTTCTTGACATGATGTTGTGATTAATGCTCAACAGAGCTTCTTGGTTGAGATGTAAGTAGTTCAACCATCTAGAACTCTGCTCTGTGAACTTTGTGTCCGTCAAAGGAGGTGAAGTCTTTTGAATCAGTTGGGTGTAGATGAGCACTTTAGGCACACTTAGTGCACTAACTTGTTGCTATTTGCCTGCTAGGTCCAATTAAGGTACATCACAGTTCTCTTTTTATTTATCACTTCTCTTTCACATTGTCTTTTCTGTCATTGTGATGTGAAAGTTCGCTGTTTGCCATCACGACAGATGTTTTAGTTCCCTTCATCCTGATCTAAGTAATAAAAGAAGTTCTTCATGTGAATGAAAATCAAACTAAAAACTCAGATTTCTCATGATTATTATGTGCCTGCCCTGTTTCTCATGTTGGCTGCTTTGCTTTGCCATTCTGTATCATCTTCTACCGTCTTACGGGTACATGGACTAGTATTAGTTGCATGATATTGTCATAAAAACAAGTCTTCAAATACCACTTTATTTTCATTAATTCAGCTGTTGAAGGGGAGTGTGTTAACCATAAAACACCCTTTTTCTTTCTTTCCATCCCAACAGGGATGTGGAGAAGTTGGGTTCTCAGGTGAGGAAGTCGACCCTGATCCAGCAGCAGTCCATCAAGACTGAATGGAAGCTGGCCAAGATCGCGTTTGTGGTCATCATAGTGTTCGTGCTTTCCTGGTCGCCCTATGCATGTGTCACCCTCATCGCCTGGGCTGGGTAAATATACGTTATGATGAGCTGAACTGTTAACGATCCAGTAATCTTTTTAAAAGTCTGACAGCACTGGGTGAGCAGAGACCCGACATGTGCGTCATTATTAATGAAATATATTCCATCCCCTTTAAGACATCATTACCTATAGCATGATGAATAGGTTTACACTTTACCCCTTTTAGATATGGAAGCATACTCAATCCCTACTCCAAAGCCGTCCCCGCTGTTATCGCCAAGGCATCGGCCATCTACAACCCTTTCATCTACGCCATCATTCACTCCAAATACAGGTGAGTGCAGTCATTCAATCAATTGGCTGCCTTAGTTTGAAAAAGGAATACAAACATTTTGTTGAGAGATCGTCATTTCTCCAACAGGGACACCCTGGCAGAAAAGGTCCCCTGTCTACATTTCCTCGCCCAGGCCCCCAGGAGGGACTGCATATCAGTGTCACACAGCGAGTCCTCCCTCAGGGACTCAATGCTGAGCAGACAGTCATCAGTCTCCAAAACCAAGTTCCACAGAGTCTCCTCCATGTCCACAACAGACACAGTGAGTTTTGGATGCAGCACTCGGCTTTGAAGAGCAGAAAACAAACCCAGATCAAGCAGCACCATCAAAGAAATGCGATATCAAATGCATAGAGTGTATCCTATCCATCCTGTAGAGTTCTTTCTTGAGTTATGATGCATTTTTTTTAACACTGTTTTGGTGACAGAGTTGTCTTTTGGCCAGTGAGGGTCACAAAACATCTTTATGAGGATTTTAAAGCACTATCCTATTGCGTAGGAACTATACTGTTAATAAATAACATTAACCTTATTCCATGTTTTATTAATGAAAGATGGGGCTTAAAAAGCCCTGGTCGAAGCTGCAACTTTGTAATTCAAATGGGAGAAGTTTTCGGTTTCGGCAGAAGTTCAAATGTGAAATAAACATTATTCTCCTTTCAGTACCTTGAACAAATATTCACTGCTGGGTTTGTCTGCAGCTTGTAAACAGTAAATAATTACTAAGATCAGTCTCAGTTATTTTTGAAACCAGAAGTAAATAATCAGTCTTATTGTTATTTTGGAGTTGTAACACAATGAGATGGTATGTAATGATACGCTGACTGACTTAAGGATGTCATTACCTTGATGTATACATGTGCATTTCCCCTGCAGCAGGTTTGGAGTGATGTGGAGTTGGATCCTATTGACCAGAGCTTAAGGTCCAGCTATTCCCTTGCAGCTCTGGGGGACAAAGAGTACCAGTCACTGACCAAACAGACCAAGGAAATGAGAAGCCAAAGTGAGGAACAGGTAAGGTAGGTACTCAGCATTACAATTGTTGATTTTAGATTCACTCCAAACTCAAAAGCTTTTAGGACTGAGTACACCCCGTTCTCAAAATGCTTCATGTTGATTACGTCTGTATTACATTCAAATACAGGCTGCCATCCCAGAGCAAGGTTCAGTGAACAGCTGTGACCACAATATATGGCCTGAGTCTGTCAACAAAATAATGCCCTTGGCCTCGGGAAGGAAAGGGGAGGACAATCTTGAGAGCTGGAATAAAGAGAAGAAACAGGAAGATGCGCAAGAGACCGACTCTGAGCAGGATAAAACCGAGGCAGAGCTGGTACAAAAGGAGAAAGATGTGAATAAGTCACAGGTCCTCGTCCAGCCAGACTCTGAGGACAATATTGTATGTGTGCACTCCCCTGCCATCGTCAGACCCGACTCAAAGGAAGGCCTGCTGGAACATGGCTATTGTGAGGACGAACAAAGTACACAATGCAGACAGAGAGAACTGCTGGTCAATCTGCAGCCCCTGCACTGTTCTGCTCAAATATTGGAGTCTGTCCAAAGCTGTCTGTCCCCGAAACTATGAAGCTTAATGTTGAATTATTTATCCATGTGGCTAGGTGTTACTGTGACTAAGCAAACAAATACTTTTTTTTTTTTGTCCCAGTAAGCTCTTTTAATCTTCTTCAGCAGGTGTTTCAATTCATCAAAATGTGTTTTTGTGCAGTCATATGCACAATCCACCGATAACTGTGAGGCACAACTCCACTAGCTAGCTGTAATACATGTAACATATAACACATATTTACCTTTTGTTTTTTGGTTAAGAGTCCTGCAGTGGTGTCCACATCGCACACTGAACCGAAACGGAGATTTCAAAGAGCCACGTTCAAAATATTATGTTCTTGAGGATTAAGAACAACCAGATATATCATCAACTTGAGGCAAAAAAGTCCAAAGATTGTCTGTTTTTGTGTGTGTTTCTTATTTATTTTTGTGTAGAAAGTATTCGTTTGTTTACTCTATGACTAAGGCTAACTATCAGCCTTGTTCATTTGAAATGAGCAATGCAAAAACTATGGTCACTGCCCTGTTTATAATGCACTATTAACACGTTTGTTAAGTTTCTAACGGGTCTGAGTGATTGTAGAACTGAATATAATATATTTCTGACACCATATAACGACGTTTGTTATGTTTTATAATTTTCTCTGCCGTGGCTTCAGGCACTTTGGTAACTATGTGTTCTACCACCTTAAGACTAGAAAGGTCTCCGTCAGGTCAAAAGACTTTTTGTACAACCCCAGACTTTGATTTATCGCAGCGATTTTGACGTTTTACAGTTTTGATACGGTGTCGACATGATGTGTTTCACCTACACCGACCTTCTCGAGTCCTGAAGACACTCTGATGTATATCAACACTGCTGTAATACCAGAATTATGAGTTTTGTTCTCAGGAACGCCCCGAACAACAGCAATCACTGACATTTTTCATAATTCCTTTCTTTGAATATTCATGAGTACATATATTTGCTGTGGGAAATAAAGGTTTCATATGCTTTCCTACAGTCTCCACAGTCTTCTTGCAAAAATTTCTGTGACTTCAATCTACAGCAAATTCGTTAATACCCATAAATATTAATATTTACATTATTATGTATTTGCTATTTATATGAACACATTAATATTTAATTAATTCTACTTCTTCGCATCAAGGACTGTGTCTTTATAACTTGTTACAGACATTAAAATCAAAACAGTAACACATTATTGTCCATTTTCCAGCTGTGTTTTGATCAACACACAACACATGTTGATGTGAGATGCTGTGCATAAATATTAACAGTGCATAATCTTTCACGTATGCATTACAGCACCTGCGCTGTCAACATGCTTCTGGCGTTACTACACATTATTTATCACACGTGAAAGCCTGCAGAACAAATATGTTAGTATAATTAGTTGTATATCCACTTAGAGGTGCTGTTGAGAAGCACATGGACATATTTTCCTCTAATTCTTTTTTATTCGCCCACCAACTCCCTTTTAGCTTCTCTTTGAATGTGTACATTTTTATATGCAGCCAGAGTAGGGGCAAAAAGAGGGCAATGACGTCCAAAAGACTTCCCACATGCACCATAAGTCCATTGATAATATGGATCTATTCAATGTGTGACTCAATTATCAGGGCTGCAGTTCTGCAATATACCTCTTGTGACACTTCCTTTAAATTCGAACACACAAAAAGCCCCTTTCTGAACTGTCTTAACATTAATTTGGGGAGCTCCTGAATTTGCCCAGTTATATAAAGATGATCTAAAGGTAAAACCTCACATAAAGGGCTTGCACACTTCAGTGGTTCAATAGCATTGCACAAAGGGGGGGTTTTGCTGCTGGGCTTCCGGTCATTTTGCAACTCTATATTGATATGGCACACATGTAGCTCAAAGAATTCCCAGCTGACCTATAGTATGCAGCAGAATGCAAACATCTAATGGCATTTAGCCGCACTGGCTGCAAACAGTTAACGGTAATCTGTATAACAGGTCATACATGTGAGAGTAACATAGTGGTACACCGATATGTCACACACAGGATATCACAGTGAAGAAAACTGGTGTAAAACAAATCATCTGAAGTAGCCTGTAATGATGTTAAAATATTAAAAATAATGTTCACTGATGTTTAAATGCAAAACACATTAGCTCACAGTGTAGGGGTTGGTACGCTTTGTCCTATATAAAGACGGAATACAATGCTGACACATTCCTGTCCCGTTTGAAAATGTGGATCATCTATGCTGATACTGACTGTTTATGAGTGTACCAAATCTTTCACTTGTATCCTATTCTAACTATTCTAACACTCAGGCATGTAATCTAACAGATTATGAGACTGTCACTGGTGCACTGCAGCTTCGAGGCGAACTGCTTGTTTTGCTCATGTTGTGTCCGTCAGCATGTTAAAAAAAATCAGATTGAGATGTGAACAAGATCTTTAAAAAACAACACCAATATATTTTTCACCAGAGGGGATCTTTAAATCGGGCTGCAAGGTGGCGCAGTTGGTAGCAAAACATGTTGAGGTTAATTGGTGATTCCAAATTGTCCGTAGGTGTGAATGTGAGTTGGTTGTCTGTCTCTATGTGTAGCCCTGTGATAGACTGGTGACCTGTCCAGGTGTCTCCTGCCTTCACCCTGAGTCAGCTGTCATAGGCTCCAGCCCCCCCGCGACCCTAGTGAGGATTAAGCGGTGTATAGATAATGGATCTTAAAATCCAGTGTCTGCCTAAATTGTCAAGTATGTACTTTCATTTTTGACCACTAGAGGGCATACCAACACTGTGCCACTAAAAGCTAAACACCATTTACAACCTGCACCACTGTCATACCACAGCGACCATAGCATGACAATTAAATATAAAAATCACAACGGAATAATAATAATAATAAAATGCAGCACTGGAAACGGCTTTACATAGAATAGGAACTTCAAAGACAAAAGCTGAGAGAAATCTGCAGTGAATGTGTGACACACTTTGTGTAATTAATTAAGTTTTATGTCAATGTCAAAGCAGGTAAAACTATAACGTCCTAGTTCACATGAGGTATACTGCTTAGATTTGTTCAGTGTTCTAAATGTCGCCCGATAGTTAAAAACGCACGACAGCAGGATGGCACGCCACTCGTCTGACCTGTACACTGGAGGCATTTAGTGGAAAGCCTGACGTCAGGAAGCACTGATGCAACAAGGAGGGCTGATGCCCTGTCAACGTTCAAATACTTCTTTCATAACGTCATGTGAAAGTGTCTCCCTCACACATTCCGATTACTTTATTTGAATGCCAAAACTTTCCTTTAACTCAACAATACAAGAGAACTTTAAACACTTCCTGATTTGAACGGAGGCCTAAATGCATTTAACAGAAAAAATACCACAGAAGTCATACATATTAAGATCTATTTTAAGACCAAATATAAGGAAGTTCAGGATAGACTTCAGCACACATCACAAGTTTCAGTTAACAGGTATCACAAGTATGTAATTCTGAGGAGTTCATTTGTGAAAAGAGCCCATTCAAGAGTCTATTGGAGGCCCTCAGAGCGGTACATTCATGCTGAAGTACACTACACTGTTACACCACTGACACAGACCATGAACAGGAAAATGTACCATAAAAAATATCTTAATTTTAGTCTCACTGGAGAAGAAAACCTGCTAGAATTTCTCTCATAATGAAGAAATAAGAGGGAGATAGGTTTACCTTGAAGCAACAGTCAGCATTTTATCTATTGAATAAAGGTTAAAGCAAAAAATAAAGAATTAAGATGGCCTTAGGTTTAGACTATCAATATTGATTCACAGAATGATATCCATCATCTAAATTTAAGTGCTACTATGAGGTCGGTGTGTGTAAATTAATCAAATGTTCTCGTTTAATGACCGGAGCTGCAACTATATTTAATTACCGGTAATCGACTAATTGGCAACGATTAAATGAATCCCCAACTATTTTAATGATTATGTTGATGACGACTACTTTGAAAGTACAAATTCTCAGATTCCAACTTCATAACTGTGCAGATTTTTTGTTTTCTTTCCTCGTCTGAACTGGAGTTGATCATCTTTGGGTTGAGATTCAAGGGCGTCATCTTGGTCTTTGAGAAACAATGATTAATTTTTTTTTTTTTTTTAACCAAACATTAAACTAATCAATTAATTGAGAGAATGACTGACAGATAAATCAACAATAAAAGATAATATAAGTTCCAGCTTTAGCCTGACTCTCTAGATGTAGAGTGCAAGTGTAAGCCTGCCACTGGCCTGCCTTTTTTTTGGTTTCTTTTTCCACTTCCCACATGTAACTGTTTTTAAAATCCCCTTCTTTACAAGAACCTACAATAAGCTCTGAAGAAGCAGGATTTGCAGAGGGTTTGGTTCATGCAGTAAGGCAAAGCTGCTGGGGTGGTTTTGGTGATATACTTATTTGCACCAATACAACTCCCCCGTCAGTACTGTGAAGGGGACACTGTTGCTGCATCCTGGGCTTGGCTCCACCCAATATTACTGGGATGGGTTTAACGAAATACAATCCGGTCAGTGTGTTTGTTCCCTTTGTAGCAGAATGATCAAGATAGAGTGACTAAACGTCCTGTTTTCCCAGGACATGTCCTGTTTTCACGTCCTGTCCTGGTCGTCCTGGTTGTTTTTTAGAAAGTGATGGAAATGTCCTGTCCTAAAGGAGGCATACTTTAAATGTACTGAAATTATTAGGCATGTTTGAGTAAACTTCATTTGAGTATCTCATTGCTGGGCGAGTGACCATAGTGAGGATTAAGCGGCGTGTAGATAATGGATGGATGGATTACAGGGCTGAGTTCCTGGTTTTCGGTAATCAAAATATGGTGACCCTAAATTAAGATGAAGAATAGTCTATTGTGAGACTATTGCAACCCTTATAATGAGGAAACAGGCTGTCCTCACTTCATTGTCAAACAAGTTAGTTCACTTAACCCTAAACAGGACTGTCATGATGCCATGTAGAAGGTCTTTGGGGCTCCATTGGACCCCAAGAAAGAATATGTGCAAAATATTTATTGGTATTATTATAGACTTTTATTCTATGTTAAATAAATTTTCTGATAAGTTGATGTAGTTTTGGTTCCAAATGCATGACAGATGTCGCTCTTTTTATACTAAAAAAAATAAAAAATAAAAATATGAATAAATAAAAAAAAATACTAAAAAAAACAATACCTGTCACCCAAACCAAATGGCCTGGGGTCCAAAAGACCCCAAAAGTCCTGAATAGGGTCAAAAACCTTGTTTATTTGACTTTTTTTTATTTATTATTGTTGCTAAACATTGGTATGGACACAAACCGTTAGCGGCGCTCCAGCTGGACGTCACTGAAAACAGTTAGCTAGCTTAGCTTAGCTAGTAACTAAGTAATGCTAGCATGAAACTTAAAAACCACAGTGACAAAAAAAACAACTTTTAAACCAAATAAATGCATCCCTTTGTGAGCATCTGGGAGGGTTTTCCAACTGTCGGTTAAACATTAATTTGGTTAATTTGCGGTTCTGGATGCTAACTACACTTCGAGCTTCACTTCGCCCCAGACTGCTCCGTTTCCACTTCGCCGGGCTTCGCTCGGTGTTTTCTCCACCACAGCTCACCTGCTCCGTCCCGGCGCTAGACAAGCCCCTGCCTGCCTCCCTGCCTGCCTGCCTGCCTGCCTGCCGCCGTGTTGCCCCCCCAGAGAACCACCTCACACACGGCTGTTGAACCCTCCTACCGGCACACACATGGGCTGGCTTATATGCGGAAGTTTCAGTTCCGCTCAGTCCAGTTCTTCGAAGCAGAGAACCGACGGAGTAAAGTCACGCTTCTCGTCTCTCTCTATCTGTAAACCCGGCTTCACAAGGCGAGGTGAGTCCTGCTGTTCACCGTATCTGAGCGAATTTTTTAAAACAGAAACTCGGTGGTGGGGAAGTTTTTTTATTTTAGAGCTACTTAGAGCAAAGTTTGCAATTAAGAACATCTCGAAATCACCGTAATGAGCCAGTCTGGAGTTACTAAGAAGTTATATTGTCATGCTGCACCTAGCAAAAGCTTCACATTTAAAAAACTTCAGAGGTTATAAGTGGGATAAAAGTGTGTGTGAAAGTTTCATTAATACTGTCAGACATGTGTTTGGTGTCACACCCACTGAGGCAACCAGACATTCAGCTGCGTCCCCAGTGATCTGAGAGAAGGACCTGATCTGTAACTACCAGTGATTGTGACAGTATTATATTTACTAATCCAGACTGACAAGACATAAGAAGTTATTCAGAAGTATTTTAAAAGCTCTGTGTGTGTGACATTAAACATGTGTTACCAGCCTGAGGATAAAAAAAAGTTAGTATCCCATAAACTCAAGCTGGAACAAGTTGTCCCAGTGACAGCAGTAAAGATGGGAATATGTTTAACTACCATACAGGTTATTAGATGGTGTGATTCGACGCAAAAATATGATTTAAGCGGCGACAAACATCTTTGCCTTTCACTGACAGCGCACCAGTGAGGTAGGGAACGTTGTGAAAACGTTCTCCAGTCGGTGAGTCAACACATCCTGCAATGATGTCACCGGGCGACAGTGTCTCCCGTGAAATGACAATGAGCTTTAAAAGTTTGAAAAGGCGAACCTTGCACCCAAATTTAGATCTGTTGTTCTCTTCAATACCGAGAGATCACATCAAGGAAACATGACTTGGAAGTTTGACACGTGCAGTGGAAAAGGGCAACGAGGTCATAGTGGTGGATACGCTTAGATCAAATATATTGAAATGAGTGTATTTGGAAGGAATTAATCGTTGTAGGGCGATTTTGTAGGGTATGGATATGCTAAATATTTTTTAAAAAGCTGAAAAAACACATCTAGAACCTCTCTCATATGATGTAAAATTGAAAAAGGCATCTAATTTATTCATTTTTTGCTTTGGATGATGTTCAGATCAGACATCCAGGTCATAGAGAGCTTTGTAGAGGTGATTTAAATGGTCGCACAAATTAGTTTTGTTGCCTTTTTGATTAACATCGACAACAAAATCTTCTCACATAACTCATGTTCAGTTTGCAACCAAATGTTCCTCGTCAATGTTTCGCATTTTGCTCACAGAATCTGCTTGTCAACAAACTTTACGTCTTGTGAGAAGTTTAACACAAATAAACTTCATATATCATGTGGATTATTCATGGGAAATGCAACTTGTCTTTTTGCATAAAGCAGCAAAAAGCAAGTTGAAGCCTTATGTGTTCATTTGCTATGATGTCACCGTTGTGCACACACACATATCGCAATGCTGATGCTGAACCAGTACACTGTGTAGTTTGTATTTAAGAGAGAGTTTTTTTTTTCCCCATGAAATGCAGTTTTGATTTCAACCACACCCAGGGAGGTTAGTGTACTTTATTAAACTTACCTATTGAGCAAGCTTTTATATAACCAGACATGAAGTGAAAGTTGATCATCGCATGTGTTTCTTACTGCTGATAATAGCTATGATTTGGAGTTTTTTCACATCTTTTGCTGTGTTGTGCTTCGATTTTACACACATTCCCAGTTTGTGAGGCCTTTAAGGAGACTACTACAATCCTACCCAGTTAGCAAGTGTGCTTCACTGTAAATTCAGACTTTTAAATTCAGTTTCAGACTATTCTGGATCGTCTGCCCACTAATTAGATCCATCAACTTGCTACTAAATAAGCATTGAAGCGTCTGACCCAGTAGTTTTTGGTGTCAAAGTGTTGAAATGTTTCGCAGAATAAAGTGCCGTAATGATAGAGACTTTCGCGATAACGCCCACGTGGAAAATAACCGGGATTAGGCTCTAACTGGCTTAGCGAAGGTTTTGTGTGATTGCTGCTGATAAGTTTGTCTGCACAGCTCACAACTGTTTTCCTCTGTTTGAGAACACTAAGAGGTGTGTCTCCTCATGTCTATGCATGATATCATTGGGAATTGCAAAACAAGCAGGGACACGAGATGAGCCTGATGTTTGTTCTCCCCATATTAGGAAACGCTATTGATATGTGTGTGTGTGTCAACCACGACTTGAGTCACTGGGATCCGAATTTCAGCAATTTGTCCTGCGCCTTTAATGACGTGTCCCAGTTGACGGTGAAACCAAATGCCGAGAGAATATGTTGTACAACGGAGCGGTTCGGCGCTGTGAAAGGTTTTTTGTTTAACAGTGGGAACATGTACGCTGCCGTTTTCCCTCGAAGACGTTTGCATAAAATACAAAGTATTTGTGTTTACTGTGACGCTACAGGAAATGTGTCACTGTTGGCAGATAACAGGTGGGAGCTCGAAGGAAAACAACGCCTGCCAAAGTGTGAAAGATGTGGTTTAGATAGTTATTTTGAGGCAGCGTTCATGTCCTCGTTTTTAGAAAGTTATCGGTGAGTTCAGCTGCTTTTTGTTGCAATAGAAAAATTGAAAGACTTCACTATTTATTAACAGTTTATACAAAGATATAACTCAAGTAATGCTGCAGTTAAACAACTTCATATAGAAACGACTGATTTTCTGGAGGTCAGTGTGTGGGCCATGCAATGGGGTAGCCCTTTTATTTTTTCCTGAAGTTAAATGTCTTGTCTCACCTCAACCCAAGGTCACCTTGTGGAGAGAGACAGCTGTTTTAAATAGTCTGTCTCAATATAGACTTGCATATTTTGCATGTGTGAGTTAGTTGGGCTATATTAGTTTGATTGTGGCCACTATAAATTGTACTGTGACACTTTGGGCACACCTAGAAATGTGAAAATCACTGTGTTGGATTACAAAATGTCATATTTTTTACAGGAAGATACCATGAGTGCACTTGTCAAGCAAAAAATATGTAGAAATTGTAAATGCAGAGTTCAAAATTAAAAGAAGACCTGATCTGGACGCCCAATAATGTTTTTTTTTTAATGTGTCAGTGTTTAGTTTGGCATCCTTTGACTTCCAGAACTTCTTGACAACATCTGGGCATCGACCAGCTTCTGTAATAGCGGTGATGAAGGTTTCCTCCATTTTTTAGCCAGCAAAAGATTCAGTTCATCCCCATTAGAGCTGGTGTTTTTCCCTCCATGGTGTCTCATAGGTTGGGATTTAGGTCAGAGCGCTGGGACGGTCATTCCAAGACGCTGGGAGAATCTTTCTTTTAACAGGCGACCGGTGTGCTTTGCTAAAAGATCCACATCCGTCGATTTAAGAATTTTTGGGTTGATTTCTTTATAGTATAGAAATCCATCAGTACATACAAGTTCAACTACACCATTGGAAATAAAACAGCACCATACTTTGACTTTCTCTCCTTCATGTGTGACTGTACCCTTCCTCCTTTGGCTTTTTCCGCACAAACTTTCTACCATCAGGATCCATGTTGGTTGATTTTGGATTCATTTGAAAATAACACACCTCCGAAAGCTGCTGACTGTTTTTTCAGCAAATTTCAGCTTGTAATTGGTTTCCGCAGTATCGCTCTCCTTCTGCACTCAGACCCTTTGATCATGTTTCTAGTAGTCTGGGAGCTCAGTTGGAGCTGGTAATTTTTGTTGAACTCTGAGGCCACCCTTGGTGCTGTGTCTCACTTAAATCTCTTGGTTTTACTCAAATTTAAACAGTCAGATCTGCTGTTTCTAGGTCTGTGCCTTCTGTCGCCTGCCACAAGCGCTGTATCTTTGAACATTTTGATCATATCTAACTAGGGAGGATTAAATATTGAGTTTTTTTTGCTGCATTTTTATCCTTTTCTTATGCAAACAAATCATTTTTGACCCTTTCTGAGCTCACTTTACTTGTGATTTTCTTTTTTGCAGCTGCCTCTAACTACCCCTCAGAGCCTTAAGTACCCTTAAGTTCCCACATCACTGCCGTTAATGACAGACATGTTCATTGAAATGAGAATCAGAAACAATTGTTGTCATTTAGAGAAGTATATTTAAGTTCTCCTTTAGGTAGAAAATGTCTTGCTCAGTGTGTTCTTCTATGCATCAAAGTCCAGTTTATCTAACAACTTATGAGATAGCTTTATAAACTCCACACAAGTTCACTGACAGTTTATCCGTGCTTTATGGAGCCACTCCGTGTGCATTGTGCTTTCCAGGTGTTCCCCTTCTCCCGATCACTTTCACACGTAGCTGTAATTCTTCCCCCTCATTCCTTTTTTGTGGCTTCTTTTCTTTAAAGAGCTTCTTGCCCTGCGGCCGTGATGATGAGACTGTGTGTAGGCCAACACTACAACTAGCCAGGTGACGGGCTGCAGCAGGTGGTGTCCCTGAGGGAATTTGGGGATGGCAGCATAACCTCAAACAGACGTGCCTCTGGGATGACAAGGCATTATTATTCATGAAATACTCAGCAGAAAAGTATGGCATTCACTGCCCGGCTCACAAATGTGTGAGTTTTTGGGGAAATGTTGCGCAGTTGAATTGCTTACTTCATGTTTTTCAATCACAAGGTTATGTCCTTGACAAAAGCGAAATCCTCTTCACCAAATCCAGCGATAAAAGAAGTGTTACTGGAGCAGAAAGGATCGCTCCAGAAATCCCTTTCTTTTCCAATTTGTTCAGCACAAGTGCCAAGATCTTTAGTTCATTACATGAGAACTTTTTTGCTTTCTTTGGTTCTCAGATGATCTCTAAAGTAAATACTGATAACCACTAACAGTGCATCCATCTGTTCAAAGTCAGATTTTCTGCTACAGTTCCCCCTTTTCCATGTAATTAAAATGTACCGTACGTGACATATAATGTTCCGGGGTGAGTCTTTGATGTCATGTTTTCATGTCAACATTCACTCTTCCTGTTGGGTAGGGCAAAGGTGATATATTTCCACAGGATCTGGGATTTTTTTAAAAGTTGCACAGAAGCGCTGGTTGGCACAGAGACAGATACAGTCGAACACCACATTCTCTCTTTTTCACGCGTACTAGAAACGTGTGTTCTTCAAGTATTGTATACTCTAATAATGCAATAAATCCCAATATGTCACTGCATTTAACCCCAGAGTTGCTTCCAGTGAAGATCGAGCAGCTTCAGTCTTTTAGGGGAAAAGGAATGCATGACAAAACCAGTGAAACCCAATAGCGCATGAAATATTTCACTGCACCAAATAATCTTTGCTGTATCTTGTTTTCTCACTGTCCTTTGAATTTCTGTTCACAGGATATCGTATTTGTGAGGTTGTAGTGGCACACTTAGCCGCTGAGGTGAAAGTAATATCAATGCGAGGCGAGTTAACAAACAAACTGTGTTGGCTGTGAGCCGAAGCTGAGCTCTAACAAGTCTCTGGCCGGCCAGGGCGGGTCTCGTCTTTACTCTGTCCCCCCTGTAGGCCCAGCAGCACCACAGTTGTCTTGAGGAAAGGCCAGTACTCACTCGTACATACTGGGGATTAATCGGGGTTTCAGCGAGATGTGAATGCACACAAGACATTTCATCTCTCATCTCTCAATTACCATTTCTAGACCTCAGGAATGAGCGGTTAAGTCGACTGTGTCTCACTGGGAAGATAAATAACGAAAATTTGCCCAGTCTTTTGAAAAACAAGGATTGATGATGCCTTTGCCTTGCAATGCTCAATTTTCAAAATGCTTCACTTCCCTCCGCTGTGCTTGTTTAACCTCTTAAGTTTAAAGACATTATGATCGCAATCAGTGCGTTTTGCATATTTGTAGAACTATGCTGCTGTTTATGTTGCAGTAAGCAGACGTATAGTAGCTTGTTTTTCCCCCAACAGGATTATAGTTTGTCTCAAGCAGTGGGTTCAGTTTGAGAACACTGACATGATAAGTCCAAAGTGCAGCTTTAGATTGTTGATCTAAGCTTTTCAAAGTAAACAAGTGATTATGAGGGATTACGTGATAGCTGCATTTCCGACTTTTCCTTCTCTCTTTTTTAACTACTGCAAGTTATTTTAACACCCATTTCCAGCCTGCTGGATGATGTGTATTATTACCATTTCTAAGAAGTATGAAATCTTTAACTTCAGTCTGGCATATTTATCCACCAGCACTTGAGAGGTTATGCTGTGAACAATACAATCACTAACTCCCCATTACTCTTGTTGTGAAGAGCGTTACCCAGGACCATAGACTGTCTATGCCCAGGACATGAGCCTTGCTCCAAAGCTGATGGCAGAGATCTGGCTGTTCCACAAGACAATTATTAATAGATCATTGTACTTCAATTTAGATAGCTTCAGTGTTGTAAAGGTTATAAACCACGAGTCTGTGACTGTTTCACCAAAAGGTCGATAACAAAAAAAGAAAGATTCATTATTCACAACAGCGTTTTAGGAGGCAGTTACCAATTTTTATTTTTTATACACATTATTATCTTGCATTTGAGATATTTTGTTCTGTCAGTGTGGAGCCACTTGTTGGATTATATCCCTATTTATATGGTTTTGTGCTCAATAAAGTGTTCTGTTGTTCTGTTTCTAGGTGCATCATGAGCAGCAACTACAGTGTCTCCCTGGTTGGTCCTGCCCCCTGGGGCTTCAGACTGCAAGGAGGGAAGGACTTCTGTCTGCCCCTCACCGTTTCACGGGTGGGTGGATCACACACACACACCTCTTCTTTGCCCTCCACTTCATGACAGTCACCTCAGAGGAATGCTGTTCATTCTCATTATGCCATTTGTCTTGTCAGTGATGAAAGTGCGATTGGTCTGCGTGACACTCGTAGCTGGATTTAGACAACTTCTTTAATAGTTCATGGCCCTGTCGCTCAGTCCCCCGTGGCCTTCACCTACCTCCTGACAAGGCTAGGCCTGTTGTCAAAATAATGTTACGTAACGTTATTTTGACCACAACACACAATCTGTCAATTTGAAGAACTCCCCTGAATCTCTCTAATGGCCGCTCAGGATATATTTGGAGGATGAAGCCAGTAGCTGTTAACGGCTCATGTCAGTTTGGTCATTCAGATGAGGGATAGCGCTAAGTGTCCTGGCCTTTCCCCTGGTATTTGTCCTGATCAGAGACACAGGAGACTATGTGTGCAGTGGAAGCATCAGAACCTGTCCTTAAATGGCCCAACTGACTGAAACTCTAGAAAGCCGCAGTGGTTGTGTAATAACTATTTGGGACTTTGGACCACATAAATTCAGACTGGACTGACCAGGTTCTTCCGAACCCTGAGCTCACTGCTGGATGGCTTGTTGATTAGAAAACAGGCCTGTTTATGAGACAGGCCGAGGCTTTAGCCCATAAACAGTCACACTCTTTATGTACATAGTAGAAGAGCATTCTGTGGAAAACACTGGGGTTGCTGCAACAACTGAAGGAAGTCTTCAGAGCAGCTCACAATCTGTAGAGTAGCAAGTCTCTTTCAGCGCAAGGATGTCTGAAGTGTCTCTATTATCCGGGCATTTCTCCTTGTCAAGCAGGATTAAAAGTTGGCAGCTTAACCTCCACCAGTACAGCCACCAGTGCTATGAGTACATCTCTGGCTTGTGCAGAATGAGCAGTGTCATTTCGTTCCCACTATACTTCCTGTTATGAAACTGTAATCACGATGTCACGACCAAGGTCAGCCGCTCTGTTTATTTGTTGCTGGCAGGATCACTTACAGTATTTTCAGCGTCATGCGGAGGGAGAAACGGCTTTTCTTTTGTGGAAATATGACCATGAGTGTTGGGACACGGTCAGACTACGAGTATTAAAAGGCCGGCATAGCTTTCCAGACTATTTTTATGTCTTGCCATTATGATAATATTGGCACGCGGGACGTTATGTCTTCAGTCTTGTCATATCTTAAAACCAACACATGAGTGAAACACGCTCACATGTGTAACTCGATCAGATATTGGAGCACCTTCATATTTTATATTTTTCATTTCTTTTTATTTGTGTGAGCACATAAAAACAACAATAAAACCAACAAAAGAGCTCCAATTTAATAGCTTTTAAAAAAAACATTGTGCCAGCATGTCTGGAACGTAATCGCCTAAAGCCTGAACTTGTTTTGCCTCCTCCAGTCGTTTATTTATTTATGGTAAAGCCACTTCCTTCTATTACATACATAAATCTATGTGAACTATAGACTGTACATCTTCCCAGCTGGCTGCGTCATTGGGTACCGTCAAATGAACTATATACATCACGATATACCAATAAGCTTTTTATTATTTTGAAACTATATATTCATACACTTTCATTCCACAATGCATAACAGAAAGTTATTGGCAACTTGCATACTTTATAGTTGTCATAGTAACCCCATTACTTTACATAATTCCTGTGCTTAAATCAACATCTCTTCATAACATCAAAAAACAATACTTTCCAGGAGCTACAATTACCAGAGTTCTGACATTAATTTCCCATTGCACTTTTCCTATCAGACAGGAATATGTACTTAGAAGTAAAATATGTGATTTTTCAGTTGTAAAAATGAACAGTAGACTCTGATATTCATAGGCATATGCCATGTCATATTTTACTAGACTATAGCATAAAAAGAGACAGGTGAGTCGGGAAAAAATGGTCCGTAAAGCCTTGAAAGTGCAAGCCGAGGAAAATCGCAAGTGCATGTAATGCGGTAGTCCCGACGAGTTAGTTTTTATGGGATTTGGTGGCGGGTTGCTGCTCCATGGGCCATAAAAGTGTTGAATAGTTCTTGTGTCCACCAGCAGTCCTGCGTTGAGTCATTTGTGGTGTGAAGCATGCCGTAGTACTGCTAAAGCAGGCAAGCACGACTCACAGCTTTTCATTATTTGCGAGTGTCATTCCGGTGACATATTTTTGTCCCAGCACATGACCAGCTCAGGTTTCTTGTTATTGTCCAAGCGCCAGGAATAAGCCCAGCCCTTTGGTCTCTCAGAATCCTAAGGTCACAAATGGCACAGCCGACATAATGCACGTGATTGTGGCGTGGTAAAACCATTTTTGTTACCTGCACTTCATTACATTTGCTAGATTGTTCAGTCAGATCTGTCAGTACTCAAGTAATCTGTGATGATTACTGTATCTGCAATCTCAGTTACAAACGAACAGTTAGTTCTGCGGTGCATCGGCGGAAACATCTGCCAGCAGTTTAACCATTATTTCAGCTCCTTCATTAGATGAGTGAGGAGAAAATTGTGTTGACCGCAGGCTTATTTTAAGGTTCATTAGAGACCCGCAATGTTAAAAAAAGACTTATTTTGCAGTGAAGAATACACGTCTGATTGTATCACACTAAAGCTTGTATTTATTTTGCTGCCATGGATGGGATTGCGGCGGTGTAATGATGTAATGACTTTACATATGTTTACCATATGTAACTGATCCAAAAATTATACACAGAATATAAGGTTAGTCAGAAGACAACCACAGCTTATTACCCCGCTGGCTTTTTTTTTTGGAACCTCTGCCTTTGGTTGTTGTAACAACACTAAATTAAAGTATGGGGTGGGGTACGTACCATAATATATATGTAGTGTGTAATGCCGGATTGGATGTCACGGTATAAATATCCTCAAAACACGCAAAGGTCATCGTAAGCACACAAACAAATTAGGGCCTAAATAAACACTACTTCACAACAGCGTGAAACTTTCTAAGTGAATCATTTACTTCACGAGTCTCAAATGTGAACGATAGGAGTTTTTATGTTTACCAAATGTGCATGAAATGTTCCATAACAGAAGATTAAATGATGTCATTTACTCTATAGGTATGTTTTGTGTTTAAACTTGAAGCAATGCAGCTGTTTGTTAAAAGTGGGACCACCCAACACATGCACGGGCAATTCATAGAGGAAGCACTCAATTATGCACATTATTTGTCTGGGTGTCTCTCGCTCTCTGTTCCCCTGGACTGTTTCAGTAGTCTGTGGTTCCTCCAGTTCCTTTCAGCCTTGACAGCCTTCCACATCTGAAAAACAAGATATTATTATTTGGAATGGGATAGCATGATCGTCTATAAGAATAACTGCACAAACAAATAATTCTACTGCATGTTTGTTTATCAGTGTTTACTCGTTGAAGGTCAGTTGGGGGTCAAGCGCAGTGAAATTTTCCTTTCTTTTCCCTCTGACCCCTCACTTCCTCCGCTTGTCTTTCGTGTCCTTTTCAAATTGTTGTTTTAGTGGCTTGCGATACTCTGAGCGAACATAACAGAAGCTAACTTTAGCTCTTTGTTTGCACTAGGCTGTCAGCTTCTAGATGAGTTGTTTTTAAACTTTTCAAGCAACCATTATATTGGATTTCTTTTTATTATGGTGCTTCGACTCTGAACGAACAGGAACTGTCACTGTGACAACTGTTGTTCTTTTCGCAAGTATTGTGACTTTAATTTGGTTCGCAACATGCTTTACTGTGCTCTTTGATCTAGCTTTAAATGTGTCCTTCGCTCACCAGACATCCCTCTTCACAGACGCTTTTCTGAGCCCCTTTAAATCCGGCACTTGGAACTGCTAACCAGAAACTGCAGTTTAATTTCCTCTCTGCATACTTTGCTAACAAATTCTAGTGGGGATAACCTTCAGTGACATTCAGCAACATATAATGTTTGAATGCAGTTTCATATCTAAAACACAAGATGCCCTTTTTTTTGTTGATGTTTTATATTATGTAAAGAAACTCCATGGATAATAAACCTCAAACACATATTGTAGTATTTCTAACACCTTGTCATGCAGTATTCAAAAGGTAGTTCTTGAGTCATTCGGGAACTGAATTGGCTGCAATGCGTCGGTTTATAAGGAGGTAAAGTTCAGTGTTAAATATCAAATATCACAACAATACATTAAGGTGCATTAACATTACATTTACAGTAAATCTGCCTTTTGTACGTTTGTCATTGATTTACAATAAATACACAGTGAAGTTTGTAGCTTGTTAAGCTCCATGGATAAAGAATACTCTGGCTGTCTGACATTAAGCCATAACTCCTGCTTCAGCTCAAGTCCAGAAAAAATAAAAGCAAGCTGTAAAAAACTCCCCTGGTATTTTAGGGAACCACTGAAACAGATACCTTGTGGTCTGCGCTGCATAGCTGCAACGCACTTTTCTGTTTTTTAAAAATCTGTCTCCTGTATTAAATTCTCCTGAGCACCTTTACATGGAAACTGAAATCTAATTATGAACCAGTGAGCTCTGCCCAGTGTTTCTCATCTTCATGAATATATATAAAATAGAACTTCACAAGGTACCTTTTTTTTTTTAATAATCTGTGAAATATGCAGGAAATATGTGTTGAGGTTACAGATGGGTTTTGGTAGGAACTTATCTGCAGTATGTGTTTGATCCCAGTGTGATCTCTCTGGTGTCTGTCTTCAGTTGTACTGAGAGCATCTGCTTCCTGACTTTTTAATGTATATGGCAGAGCTATAAAGAATAATGAATCAATCACACTTTTAAAGTCAAAAACCAACTGATGCAACAGACCACTGTACGTGATCTGTACTTATGGTTGCAGCTTGGACTGCCAACACTGATAACAAGCTTTCCATGTTTGAAGCGTTACAAAGCTTTTTGCACAACTGTCTGGATTCAAGTAAAATAAATGCAGATAGTACGTCAGTGCTTTTGTAGGTTTAAATCTTTCCTTTCATGACTAGCTTTTGGAAAACAGAGTAAGCCTATACTCTGCTAATAGATTGTTTAGCTTTTGATGAAGGCTTTTTGTTTCAATAATACAAAGAACAGATGAGGATGACATCCAGGTAGCAGGCGAAACGTAACAATTATCGTATTAGCTGAATAGAAAAGCAAAAAGGCCCAGTCTAGGAGAGTTGCATGAACCGTGGACGGAGGCGAGGTGGAAGCCAGCACCGGCGCTTGGCTCGAGCCTCGCCGTGTCTAACAGCCTTTTCATATCATCTGGCTCGGCAGCGTCAGTCAGCCGGGTTTGTTTCTGACCTGACTAAAGAGCATTCAGTATTCAGTGCTGGTTTGGTACTGCTTTGTGTGTTTTGTTTGCGTTGTCATGGCGATTTGACTAAGAGCTCCTTATAGGTCTGCCTGGCATCTCGTGTTTTCTAGCAGGCCAGATTGATGTAGCAAGAGACTGGGGTCAAACCATGACAACCGTTTGTCTACCTCCGTTCAAGTGCCCTTAATTGGGATGTTTGGCTTAGAGGGAATAGAGTGCTTACTATTTGGTCCCCTCCCAACTGCTGAATGCTGCTTTTCCATTGCTTTGTACTCCTCATCGCTGGTCCTCCTCTCCGTTTGAACAGTTTGTGCAAGGTGTTCCACCTTCTAGTCTCCTGACAAGTAACAGTACTTTATGGCTTCTGCTTGAGCTAACCCAGCAGGCTGCCGTTGACGTACCACGTAGAGTTCTCTTGACAGGTATAAGAGATCCTGTAAAGTTTACAATTTCTGTTTTAATGAGCTTTGCAGATCGAATGCATGCGGGAACCATATGGATGCTATGGGATGTGCTTGAAAATGACAAGTCGTACATCAGGTTCTCTGACATATTTGTATGATAAAACTCCGGCTGCTGCCAGTAGCTGTGAAGGTTCTCAGCACATTAGTCTTTGGCATCTTTATAATTACATACTAAGAGAGGGCCTGTCTGCTTTCGCCTGATGTGTTTGTGATGACATAATGTTGGGCCTTAGTCTTTTCCATATAAGGTCCTTAATCTTACTCTATCCTACACAGACATGTCATGCATCTCACAGGCCTTCCAACTCTCACCGCAAGGCGCTTCCTGTAACATAACTTCTCAGATGTGAAGTGACCACAGCCCTCTTCCTTACTCAGTAATTTCACAAAAGGCAGGAAGTTACACACACCGACCAGGCTGGAGATGATTACTATCCCTCAAGTGTGATCTTAAATACCTTCTATTATCTTGAACGTGTCCGTCTGAATGGATATATCGTTGATAGAAGCACTGTCTTCTCGTCTCTGCCTGAAAATTTTAAGTATTTGAGGCAGCACTGTAACTATAAATCAGCGTTCTAAAAATACAGCATTGATGTGTTTAGCGAATTCCAGCGTATTAGAAGTTTTGGCAGCGGCTTCCTCCAGTAGACGGACAGTATGTGTCATAAATTTAGCCACATCAACTACTTAACACAGCTGCTTTCTCTTTAAACACAATCTCTGCAAGTCTTGCTTTCACTAATAATAAACCGGTTTTATGCGTCTTTATTTATTTATTACCTGATTAAGGATAAATTGATTGCTGAGTAAACATTTAAATATGAACAGTATTTCGAATAAACCTGATTTTTTTTTTCTTCCTCCCCCTCCTTTATGTCTGTATTTGGTTAAGGCTGTATAAAAGATGGATTAAAGACATATGGAAGCAATGGACTGTTTTTCTAGGCTTCGGTTCCACTTCTTGTGTTTTTACAGTTCGGTACAACATGCGTCTCCGTACATACGGACAAAGATGGAGTTTTTCCACAAAGACGTTTGGACCAGAAATAAATTAGGGTTACGCTTCGGGTTAGGGTTAGCTGCAGCTTCAAAATCGCAATATTCATTATGCATTAGGATTTACCATAATCCTTCAGCTGAATCTGCCAAGTATTGTGCAATTTACTGCCTTCAGGCTAAGTTTGTGAGAGCGCAGGATTATTACATGTGTAGTGTGGAACAACCAGTCATTATCAGTAACTCTACAGCACTTAAATCACCAGTGTGGAGAGGTCCAGTGCAGCACAGCAGCCACACCATTATGCGGCTGGAATCCCATTCATGTGCACAGTTGGAAAGACACCTCATTCATTTGGAAAGCATCCTTCTCATCTGGTAAATGAACACAAAGCCCTCTGGTGGCCTTTTCACTCCTTAAATTATTCTGTGTGAAAAAAAAAAAACTCTTGGAACGAACTTTTCTCTCCGACCCAGCAACGTTTAAAATAGCAACAAGTTTTGATTGCATTACTCAATTCGACGTGGCTAATAGGATTTGGTGAAACACGTTTCTAAAATGTGCTCTCTGGAGAGGACCGGAGTAGCGCCGAGCCAAAGTTCCCCGATCATTACTTATCTGCTCTCCATCACGAGTGTCTCAGACCTCTCTTGATTTATATTTATAGTCGGTGCATGCCAGAGATTCTTACTGTAACATTTATTTGTTTTGTATCCACATGAGAAAGACAGTGTTTGAGTGAAAGAAGTTCTGAAGTCTGTTCACCACAGACTGAGGCATTAAACACTGTTAACCACATGTAAAAACACATTTTTTTGAGACCCTCTTAATGTATTGAAATGTTTGAGGAACTGCCATATATAGAGCGACGTGGCATTCTCTTTTTATCACATCCCTACAAGGAGAGATCTCTATTTCACTCCTCTCTCAGACACATAGAGACACTGTGAGATGGAGAGACAGGAATGTGTGCACTCAACAACCCTTCAGCAACTTTTCTCTCCCTTTGACCTCTGGAGCCGTGCAGCAGAGCAACACTGAGCCAGCGGAGGATTTCTGAAGACTGCTTTCGCTCTGCTGATTGCACAGAAGAGCAATGGGTTAATTTATTGAAAGTAAATGCGTCAGTGCAGACTCAGTAAACGCTGGCAGGTGTGTCTGTGAGTCGGACGCTGATTGAGCGAGTGAGTCAGTCGAAGCTTTGCTCATGAGTAGTGCTTAACATGTGGCTGCGCTCTAGGTTTCCTGGACGTTGGTATGGATACATCAGCCTCAACTAGGCATGTCTACGCTTCCCGCTACTGATCCAGCTGTAAATGACACAAGGAAAGCAACCGCACCAAAGAAATGTGTCGCACAATGCCGTCACCGCTGTCACTTCCTCATTCTTTTCTCTTCTTCCTTCCCACTCTTTCCCCCTATTTTGTTATCATGTGGGTTAACACAATGGCACATTCTTTATGTTCAATTGGCTGCTTTTAGAGCTGCCTAACCTGAATGCATTCTTTAGCAGCGGGGAAAGGGCATATTGTGCTTTGTCTATCTGTCTGAATCAGGGCTGGCGAATATTTTCACTCGAGTACATGTGACTGAAGATAACTGAACCCTGTGGAGAGAATGCGGGCTTTTGCTTCCATGTGCATTTTATTGGTTCGTAGAATTTTTTTTTTTTTTGCACAAAGCTGGCACATTTTACTTTGACGTCTAAATCCCAGTTTGATATTCAACACACAGTCGAGCTGAGAGGCTAAATCACTTTGCCCTCTTCATTCTTTGTGTTGCCTCTTGTGAGTTCTATTCTTTCCCTCTGCTGAGAGATACGCGAAGTTATGATCATAACAAAGCCAGCATGAGTACACAGAGTCCTGGTGATGACGACTAGCGTTTCTGTACAGGTTCTGAGGGTGTTAAGAGTGTGCTGAGTGATAGATGAGTTGCGCACCGTCTTGTGTAATCAGTAGCCAGTCACCCTACCTGGGAGAGAGTCATAGCATCGTCATGGTTTTATTGAGTTACACCCTGTGTGTAAAACGCAAGTCTCAGCGTGATGCAAACGGAAAAAAAGATCTTATGAACCGAAGCCCTACCTTTTGCTGCTATCTGACACACTGACAGTTGTAGAGCTTTAAGCTAAGTCACACTTTAAATCAAAGCTACCACATATGACGTGTTTCTGTCCTTGAAAATGGTTTTTCACAAAGAATGCATTTCACAGGCTTCATGTACACAATGCATTGATAGAGACTGAAATACAAAAATACCTGCATTACACAGCATCTCCTCGGTACGCAAAGGCTTAGAATATGAAGAAAAAACAATCATTTGTGCGACTGGAAAAATACATTCCTAAGTGGGACAAGAGGTGGAGCCAAATGCATAAATTTTCTAACGGAAAACTTTCTTCACGGCACGCAATCTGTGCATCAGCACCTTTCAACACCACAATAACGGATTAAACAAAAGGCAAAGAGGGGCCTGGAGTGGCTCAACAAGCCTCGAAATGTCCTTAACAGACCAGCCGAGGATTAGCATAATTTTTTTTCATGATTAAAATTCAAACTTTTAAACGATGTGGTTTGGAATTGTGGGAAGTTGTCATTCGGTCGTGTGAGTCATGATTGTGGGAATGTTGTGGCTTTTTTTTATGAGCAGATTGTTTTGGTCCTGTCCCTTGGGTGTTGTGATGTTCACGTTGAGAGGCGAATAAGATGCCTATCTTATCTGACAATGGTTATATAAGACAGGAAACGGAAAGGAAGTCACACTGCTTGGTGATTACAAGATATAAATCAACATGATATGCATACACACCATTTTTGGATGATAAATGCCTTTCTCTTTTTTAACTCTGGAATGATGTAAGCCTTGAAGTTTCAAGCGCAAACATGATAAACAAACGAAAAAAGGAAAATAAAGCAGAATTCAACATGTCTTTAGGCAACTATGAGCAAAATAGGTGATCAAAAAAAGGATCTCCCTCGACTAAAAGGTAGATTTGTTGATCTTCTTTGTCTGCAAATATGTGCATGGCGAGCATACGTTTCTCATTCACTTCTGTGTCGTTGCAGCTGACTGATGGAGGCAAGGCGGCCAAAGCCAAGATTAGCGTTGGAGACATCATTCTGTCTATTGATGGCATTTCCACAGAGAGCATGAATCACCTAGAGGCCCAGAACAAGATTAAGGCCTGCACGGACCACCTCAGCCTCACTCTGCAGAGGTAAGAGTTTTACACATGCTCACATGGCACATTCTGCAACATCATCTATGGGTTTCAGTGCAATGCAGGTAACAAGACACAGTTTCCTAGTTAGTGTTTGAGTAAATGTTCATGTTGTTTTCCTCATCATATATTTTCTTAGTGCATGTAAAGCTGCTGTAAAAGAAAAGTGAGAGTCTTGTTGCATTTCTTCCTTCAGTGTATTGAAACCTGTTTCCTCGGTTGTGTACAGGCAGGTGATCTGTATTTGAAGGTGCCTTGGGTAGGATAGGCGACCTGATAAACAAAACATGTTTAACAAGCAACAGGGGAGCTTGATTGGCGCATTTATTCTGTTTGTGCTATATTCAATTAGCCTTTTCATAATTTGAAACAGATGAATTCCTGTTAGGCTAATTTAAAACAGTTCACTGTTTGTGCCACAGCAGATGCCCCTGAGGTCCTTTAGGGAGTTTGAAAATGTTAAAAAGACCGGATTGAGCTTGTTGTTTCTTGCACGGTAGCATCGGTTTATGTATGTTTTCACTCTCATAGTTACGGTGAGCTGACTGTAGTGGCATGATATCAGATTTATAGTGATGCGTGCTGTGACAAGTCAATATTAAGGCAAAGCAAGGGTACGGTTTAAGGGCCGACTCATGCTTTCCACGTCCACGTGTCCTCGAGGATCTGCATGACGATGCGTGTGACTTCAACTTCGTCATCCACCCAAGTCCGAGACTGTCTGCGCTGCAAGCACGGCAACTGTGCATGTGCCAGGGAAGCCGAGGATGCTACAGCCAGTCTGTAACCAGCTGCTACATCCTGTAAAAAGTGCAACGCCAGCCTTTAAGAAACCCTGCCCTGTGTGTTCTTCTGTGTTCATTATGAAGGGCCAAGCAACACATCTGTGTAGCAGACCGACGCATGCTTATTGTGACATGAACAGAACTGTATACATGCACGCAGACGCTTCAAGTTACCACTACAGTGTAGCATCACACTTTACAGCACAGGTTTTATGCAAATCAGTAGACTTCTAGGTCCACTCCCAGTTAAACTGTGGGTCTGCTGTTTAATCTCACATGAGAAAGTCAGTGCATTGTATATTATTTCTATAAACTGCATAAAGACGTATCTTAATTCTGCTTCATTGTGAAGAAGAAATTCCTAACTAATGGTCCACATGTGCTCTGTCCGCCTGGTATAGAGCATAGCATTAAATCTGTAGAAGACATTCAGCGTTCTATCTGATTGTGCTGAGTTCATCAGCTGCCTTTCTGCTCCTCCCATTAGGCAAAAGTATGAAATTCTGAGGCTCTTGAGGTTAACCTCAAGTATAGTATTAGGAACACTTTAAATGAAAGCTCTTAAAGCCCTCTGTTCTGTTATACATGCCTTAAAGAAAAAGACACAGGGATGCATTTGTCATTATATGTATCCAGCAATAAAAGAAGTCCAGCTACAAGAAGGCTAAAGTTTAAGTTATGTGGAGATTTTTGTTTATATATTATTATGTTTATTGTGTTTTTAGCAGTTAGAGCATGGAAAACAGGAGAAATAATCCAAAATATACTATAGTAATACACAATATGCTATATGTGACACAAAACCATACCAAAAAAAGTTTAAAAAATACAAATAAAATCACAAATATAGTGAAATAAAAAGTTTTTAAAAATGTATTTTAAAAAAAAAGAATAAAATAAGAGCTGGCCATCCCTCGGTGTACCTGTAGAGGCTGTCTGTGTGTTCCATTCCCGTAATCAAGAGGAATTAACGAGAGTAAACAGAGGAGTGAAGGTAACCATATTTGAGACCAACGAAGAGCAGTTTTACTGTCAGGCACGAGCAAATGGAGGCGAAGCACGCACACTTTCCAAGCTGTAAAACATGTTGACAGAAAAACTCAAAGCCTGGTTTGCTCGTCCTGTCATTCCATCACCACATCAAAGAAGAAAGGAGCCTCTGTGCTTTAATCGTGGGAAAACCGTCTGAAAATAGCCCCGTCCCACAGCTGTATGTAATCTAGTGTGTGTAATGGATGCACAATGAAACATCAAACATCCTGGTCTCACAGTACATGTAAACTACAACTAAACCCCCCCACCTCTAAACAGAAAAGCTGCTCTTGTCACAAATAATACACGACTGTAGTTTGTTTTGGTTCTGGCTTCATTTTTAGAAGCTAGTTTGTGGAATGTTTGTGTTGTAAATCTTGTTTACGGAGACGCTGAGTGTGAGAGACACTGTTCAGAAGTTCACTGGGATTATTTTGGAGGTTTTTTGCAACGGATAGAAGTCAGATTTTTAAAAAGTTGCTGTTAATTTCTATTTTATTATAAGAAATATCATATTCAGAGTCATGGAAAATTGGTAAAAACACAAAGAATGGTTATGAAAACCTGTTAAAACACGACACAAGTGCTAAGATTTCTAAACAATATGATTTCCACGCTATTGTTTTCTGAAATCAAACACCCAAAGAATGTAGCGCTGCAAGTCCAAACTCGAAAGAAGTCCCTCTGTCAAGCACCGCTTTCTCCATCCGTGTCGTCGGATTTGATTTATGGTTTTGATGATCACTGATAAGACTGCTGGAGGCGTAATAACATTACGAGAGTGCTAAGGGATGATTAATGCGAGCGCAGTTTTGTCCCACTATGTCACTTTGTTGTGGTTCACATTCTTCAAGCGGTTCTTTAAAAAGACACTCAAACATCCAAGTGTGACAATATCAGCGTCTGACTTGAGGAGACAAAACAACCAATATGCTCAAGCTTTACCCACATGCTCTGCTGTATCCACTGATTTCTCTTATGTGGGTTAAATAATTAAGTAGACAAGCGGTGACATCTCTTGCAAACATCAAATTCTGGGGGAAAAAACCCAAAACACCTTCATTGCAGATTACTTTAACAAGTATAAAAGCATAAACCATACACTGTCACACATAATTTATTTTTTTCTTTTCACATTTTACCCACAAGAAAGCATCCATTTAAAATTTGACATCTGCAGCCTTTCTGTGTATTGTTTAGCCAATAAGGCAGCTCTGTCAATATATTGGAGTTGTTTTCATGTTGCTAAGTGAAGGAAAACATGTTTTGATCAGAGAGGAAATGGACTTTGGAAGTACCCTCCTTATCCTGTCGTTCCACCATAGAGTAAATCATAACAGATGAGACTGAATGAGCAAAGGGTTGTCGGGAGAAAACAGGTTTTCTTTTCCACCACTGTTGTCTGTCAAAGAGGTGTCTGTCTGCGGACTATCAGAGTATCATTAGGAGATTAAAAGTATTTGGTAGTTTTGTTTGTAAGAGGGATCACATCCGGGAAGATTAAAAACAATTATGTTTTGTCTGGCGATTTCCGTTATGGATCCAGTGAAGTTTCACCAGCGTGCACATTTATTCTCTAACTTTAGCTGGTTTTCATAAACAGAACAGACCGGTTGTCTAAAGGTTTCAGGTTTGAGGTCTTCCATTCGGACACGGTGTTGATATGCCCAGCAGTTTTCACTTATTTTTTACCAACGCTTTCTGTTCTGATATTATGGAAATCACGTTGCTGAGCGGCTCACGCTCACCAGGCAGCTGTGGGAAGTAGCCTTTAGGAAAGCATGATAATTGATGTTTATTTATTGTCGTCGAAATATGCAACGCAGCGCAATGAAACACCACTCCCTAGCAGTCGTGGCTGGATGCACCTGGTTCCAAAACCTCAAAGATAATACAGATTAACGCAGCTAGCTCCGTGATCCCACCGTATTTTCATTTTTTACACATGAATTCATGTCAGCACACACAGCACACGTGTGTCTCATCAGATTTTGTGCGTTTTCCACTCGGTGTGTGTTTGTGCCTGGAACACGTGCTATTTCTGGAGGGCACAGGACGGCGTGAAGCTTTTGGAAGGTGCTGACTGCTGTATTAATCTATCTAATGCGCTGCTGTGTGACGGAGCAGATCGCTGTTTCTGATAGTTTACAGAAGAAATCTCCAGTACATACATCAGTGTGTTACACTTTCACTACATCCTTGTGTCACCACTGTTCTTATTTAGTTTAGATCCTGTTTTTCTAAGATTGCTCAACCTGCAACCTTGTTGGACCGGCCCGCTTGCAGATAGCGCTGTAGCTGCAATATATCCTAACTGTATTTCTTAGCTGAACACTTATCAGCTGCGGGGTTGTTCTGGAGTCAGTCTACAGACGTTTTCACATAAATCCAGCGTAACACCCAACACATCTAATGGTTATATCAGGGTGAAGTAGAGGACAATCCATTGCATCCCAGAGCCCCCACTGACTCCTGGCTGCCTCAGCCAGATGTGGTGTGGTGGTCGGAAGAAAAATAAAAAAAGAATGGGAGCTTATTACATCGCTTGGGCCTGCATTTATAAGATACATTAACTGGAGGGTAGTTTATTCTTTTGCGGTTGCAGTGATTTGACCTCAAGGAAATCTCCCTCATTCTCCCACTTGCTCTGTTCGTCGGCTCGGTCTTGATGCAACTGAATTAAATTAAAACTTGCACGTCTATTTTTGGACCTACAGTTGAGTTTTTATTCGAGAATATTGTTGCCAAGACAGGCGCACATGAACAGTGAGTTCTCACCCTCACAGTGAGGAGCTGTACTATTCGCAGACAGGCACATGGAAATGAATGGTATGCCTTCTATCAATATAATGCATGTGACTTCTGATATGCACAAGTGCACCGGGTTTCTCTTGACACGTGTACACACACACACACACAAATACACAAACCAGACACAAGCAGTAACCTTTTAGTGAAGTATCCAGGCAACTGACAGCAGCAACAGGCTGTCTAGTTACACGCTGATAAGCTTTAACTCTGGAAATAGCACGTATCTGTCATTGTTAGCACTGTCGCTGGTTGAAATCTCTGTTCCTCCTTTGAAACCTCCAGTTCTCACTTTTTTGAAGTGTCCTTGTGAGCTCTCGTGTTCTCTCCTCGGCGATGCTCCTTCCTGGTGAAATATGACGGAGCAGCGTTAAGCGAGGGAAACATGCAGAGACAGGAGGAGGCCTTGTGCCAGACACAAGCTGTGAGTTTTGCCACTGAACGGATAGGCTGGCTGCATGAATAAACAAAAATACAGAAAAAAAAGGATTCTTTCCCCCCCCACCGCCCGCTAGTTCCACATCCCTCTGTTGGAGTTTTTATTTTGTTTTCCTATGTCTTTCCCCTGTTTTTTTTTTTTCTTCTTCTCCATGTTTTTGCTTAAATTTTCATGCGGTGTTAAATCTGAGATAACAGACCGTGTCGCCAGGTCTCCCACTGAGTTTTCAACATTTATCACACAAGTTAAATATAGGAGCGCAGAACACGTTCGACGAGGTTTTGGAATAATCTGGATGATATTAATAGCATGTGTGAATAATACTCAACCCCATTCTCCCATTTATCTTATAATACGGTAAATGGTCTGCACTTAAATAGCAGCTTTTAACATGTGCTAGACTCTGCAATGTGTTTCTCATTCACTCTTTCTCACACACACTCTACCAGTAGTGAAGCTGCCATAAAGGTGCCATTGGGAGCAATTTGGGGTTCAGTGTCTTGCCCAAGGACACTTTGGTACATGCCGATCGAACCGGCAGCCCCGTGATTAATGGACAACTCGCTCTGCTTTAATGCGATGACGATAAACTAAACCGTGACTGTGACAAGAGATCATAATATGTGTCTTTAGAATTTTTCCAAACTCTGTCGTGTTGCTAAACTCTCTGAACTCCATGCAGTTTCTGGGCATTATTAGCTCTTGTCAGTTTTTTTTTTTTACTGGATCATTTTTGGCTTCATTAAAGTCCTGCAGCTCTATGGAAACGGCACAACCATGACTAGAAAACTCACACCCAAGAAAGTCTTTTGTGCAGTATAACATTTAATGCTATAAATTAGAAAAAAAAAAAGAAGAACAAAAGTTGAATTTTCTTTTCCAAGCACCCTAAAGTGTACAAGGAAACAATGGTGACTCTATAAATATTTAATACTTTTTAGTTAGTTTCCATGCTTGTTTCAGATCTGCTTTGTGCATTTTATCCCATCCATCCATCCATCCATCCATCCATCCATCATCTATACACCGCTTAATCCTCACTAGGGTCTGGGGGCTGGAGTCTATCCCAGCTGACTCAGGGTGAAGGCAGGAGACACCCTGGACAGGTCACCAGTCTATCACAGGGCTACACTTAGAGACAGTTCATCCCAGACACCTAAAAAGTCCCTCAGTTTTTTGCCATGTGACTATTGGGCACAACTGAGTCACTAAATACTTTACAGTTGTGCCGAGGAACTTTTTTGTTGTTGTTTTGTACATGAGTAAACCGTTTCTTTTGGTGAAGTTTTAGGTGAAACTTGTAAAATGTAGTGACTTCAACAAATGTCCTGACTTTATCCTTAGCTTTGTTTAATTTCCCCCACTGAATGGCACATCACGGATGACCGTCTTTGTTTTTACAATGTCTGGCTCTGATCTATGGCGTCATTTTGGCAGTTTTTAGAAGATAACGTGCTTTCGAAGCTTGCCAGTGGGTTTCAAAGGGTTAAGTCCACTTGAGTAAAACTTGGGTTGGAAAAAAAATTAAAGGTTGCTCTTATGCGAGCAGTTTTTCCTCTATGTTTAAAAAAAAATGGATATGTGTGGAATATGTGTAAACTGGTACGGCAAGCGTCTGTGCTGAGACGACCGTGTCCGTTAGCCTCTCCATCCGTCAGTCAAATGCCATATTCCAGACTGTTTCTCTTGGCCCTCAAAGAGACACAGGCAGAGTGGAAATGCGTCACTCTTGCTTTGCCCTCAGGCTTATTCCTCCTGGTAACCTCCTAACGTTCTCTCATTCTGGAGCTCTCTGTGTGTCTATATGAGTGTGAGACAGAGCGGGCACACAGAGAAGTCTATGTTGATGAAAACCACACTCTTTTTTCTGCTGGCAGTCTTTGGCTGTCAAACTGTCCGAATCTGTCTCAATCTAATGTTTATTATTGTCTTGCAAACATTAATTAGCCTTTATTTAGGTATGTAATCTATACATTTGGTCCATAAATAAACCTGGTAGGTGTCTGAGATCTAATAAATCAAAGAAACAGAGACGGTGTCGTCATTAGAGAGAGGATTTTGCAGTTTTATGCACGTGTATGGAAGCACAGACTGTGGAGCTTTAATATACATACTGCCTCTGATTTTTGCAGTTTGTGTTGAGTTTATGTAGCTCAATCGTAGATAACATTGGGGGACATATTTGTTGTAGTACACAGGATAATGCACTGAACTTACATCTAAAATCAGTAGTAAACATGTACTGTACTACCACTTAAATAAAGCTAAATACACCCCTGATTTCATCGAGTTGCACCCTCGTAAATACGGTTTCGTTTAAACTGCAATTCCCTATATACAGTGTATGTTTTAGTAGGTGTTTGTGTTATTTGTTTTGTTTTATGTCCTGTGTCCAGTGCAGTCATAGCAACCTAGACTTTAACCTGTCAGAGTAGTTCATGCATGTAGCAGAAATAATCCTGCATTTCAGTTTCCATTAAGTGCATTAAAAAGACGCTCCGAAACAGAAGCTTGTGTCAGAATGAAAAGTAGAACTGCACAGATAGTTGTCACAACACCGTCAGATCAGAATGACAGACCCGGCTGACACTGTGACAATATCCAGTTAAACTGGGATTCCTCAGCATGTGCACTTGGACACCAAAAAATAAAATCCTGTCACTCAGCTTGTCTGTTTATCATAGGAGAACAATTCCAGCTTGGCGGCTGAGCTGAGCAGATGTGCGCGGGACCACCCTGGCAAGTGTTTGTTCAGTTTGCTTTCGGAAAAGACAGAGGAGAGAATCAATCCGCCCAGCTGTCCCACTCTGGGACGCTGATAGCAGATACATATTGCCTCATTATAGACTGAGTTCTGTTTGTAATGGACTGTGCAGTTTGATCTTTAGACCTTTCCCTGTTGTCCTTGGCGCTGTGTGGTGTCTCTCCGTAAGCAAGTATTGAAATAGTTCTTTGGAAAATACGCATACTGTATATTAACTGTTAGGTGGAAAACTGTAAATGCAAGTACGGGCACAGATGACATCAGCATCTGGTTGGAGGGTGGGGCTCTCTAATAACCTGGTTCGACGCTCGAGTTATTGGACCTCTGCTCAGTCAGAAAGGAAATGCGTGAGTTTGTTGACTGTTTTCCTAATATGGCAGAGGGCAGAGAAAGGAAGGGAGCCGGGGGACATACCATAGCTCCTGGTCCGGAACCAGCCTTGCTGACTCACTTGTCTGTTTTTTTTTTGTTGTTTTTGTTCTATGCTGTTTTTATGGGGAACAAGGGACACATTGTCTGCATGTTCAGACCAAATATAGGACACATTGTACATGAAAACATGTTTGACTAACACAGCATTTTAAGACATGTAATTTACCTGACGGGGACGTACAGTCGCTTTGAAGGAGATGTGTGGCGGTTATGCTAAGTCTTAAAACTTGACACAGCCTAACAAAAGGTGTGGCGCTTTTCAGATTTTAAAATTGTGGTAGACAATAATCGAGAACACTAAGAATAAATCCAAACAGGGGATGAGAGATTTGTCAGCTATTCATCTGTTTCCAGAGGATCTCCAGTTAACAGACAAGCAGACCACCCTCGTTTCCCATAGGTTTTAAAACTGTAGCAGCTGCTTCAGTAATAAGTGTAAATCAGACGTATGCCACACGTCAACGCAGATCCGCACGTGGACACATGTTTTAAAGTACAGTGTGTTCGCACATGCTGCTGATCTTGCATGTTTTAGTACCTTCATTGCAAATTGCATATAATTACTGGTGAGCGTTTTCTAAAGAATACAGTTTTGAACATTTGCTGCTCTCCAGACTGCCATGTGTTTTTTATTCATGTCAGCGAACAATAAAAGCCTATTTCCTGAGCTTGAACATTGCTTGAGATTAGTCATCCATCACTGGTAGCATTTACATGCAATTTTTCTAATCAAAATGATGTTATTATCACACAGCAAAACAATTTCATGTGGAATATTCTACTTTTTAGAGTGTTCAAAGTTGCGCTAATGTCCAAAATACAATAATATATCGCTGGAAAAAGGATTAAATGTGAAGTCAATTTCGGGGAATAAATGTTTGACTCAATGTCATGACAAAATAGTGTAAAAATAGATTTGTGTTGTGAGGAGAGGAAATTCATTTATGAATTTAAACAGTCTGCGGCTCGTCTTTAGTAATCCTCTTTAATCCACATGCGAGGGCCGAGCCTTTGAAACCAGACAGACACAGGAAAAGCGACGTTTGGCCAAGAAAAATGCAACATCATCGGTGTCTGGAAGCTAATGTGACCCTCACTTGGACCATAAGTTTGATTCCCGAAGCAGTTCCTCAGAAATTAATTGCGAAACACTGAACAGATGCTGTGAAGATTTTGTACGAGCGGTGACTTTATAATCCTCTTTCTGTCTTTGCAGACCCGCCGCTGTCCCTAACGACGGAGTGCCCAAGGTATGACGAAAAATATTCATTTAACACCATATATTTATTTAAGTTCATCTGAAGCCTTTTGTTTTTCTGTACAATGTAATACAAGTTTATTTAAAAGTGAGCATGTGCCCTTCTGAGATAATGTGAGAACACAAACTGGCTTGGCATGTACAGCTGGCCACATTTCAGAGCACCTTTTAAACTTGTGTGGCACAGTCATAGCTTTTATTCATCGCAGTTCATTTTGATGTGGTTGCTGTGCTGTGTTTGGGAATGCTGGTTTACATGCATGAGTTTTTTTTTTTTTTGTGCCGTTTGTGCATGTTGTGTGTCTTCACCTCCGTCCAGGATGAACCTCAGGAAATCATTAAGCCTGTGCCGATCACTCACCCCGCCCCGAGCACCGCCTACACCAAGCCGCTCAGTCAGCCCACTCCCGCGTACAACAAGACAGCTCGGCCTTTCGGGGGTGACGGCGGTGGGGCTGCTCCCAAAGTAGCCTCCATTCCCTCTGAGTCGTCTGCTTTCACACCAGCTGCCCCCTCTCAACCACCGCAGCCTCCGTTTCAGCTCAAGTCCAGCCTTCCCGCCCCAGACTCTGCTCCCAAACCCAGCCATGGCCGCTCCGTCTTCACTTCTGCCTCTTCTTCCTCGTCTAACTCCTCCTCTCCGGCCAGAGTGACAGCCCCTCCCTCCAATCCTAATGTCCCACAGCCCTCCGTCTATAACACACCCATCAACCTGTACTCCAATGCCAACGCTTGCGAGGTGGCTATGGGGCAGAGGCGAGGTCTGCTGGAGAGCCAGGGCCTGTCAGAGCACATCAATGGGTAGGTACCATTCATCACACCCAAGTTGTTAAATGATTCCTGGAGCAAAGCCGGGGTATAGCAGGTTGGTGTAAGTGCAAAATACTGTTGACTGATTAAGACATAAACATGGGCTGTGTGCTTTATTCAGCAGGCCTGGAGTGAGTTGTGCTTCCCAGAGGCTGCAGATTAACGGACATTTTTGCTTTGCAGCGTACCTGAACAAAAACACAATATCCCATTCTGATCGTCCTCTGTTAACTCATGCCCCATTTCATCTCAAAATATGTATCTCGTTCGAGAAGCTACAACTGAAACAGCCCATGTTTTCACACAGCTGCATACTGGGAAAATCTGAGGCATGTTGTACATCTTGTTTAAATATTTCGACGGGGCAGCTGGAAGGGGATCAGAATCAGGACAGCTGATGCCACTACCTATAACTGACAGTGGTCGAACACACACAATCTGCCCAAAAAGCACTGCTGGTGTAGCATTTGTTTCTAATTGACCAAAATCCTGGCAGCCTCCGCGCTTCTAGAGACCGGGGACGGAGCACAGTTTGGCCGGATCGGGCTTCCTCAGCAGGTTTTTGGCTCGCTGATTGGGTTACAGTAGAATGAGCTGGGTTTAAGTAGTTTGCCACTCATTCTTCTTCTTTTTTTTTTTGTGTCACCTGAAAAAATAGGTCACAGAGATCTGTTTTTATAGCACTGAAGACACCAGAGTGGCTCATTGGATTCCTCAGCACTTAAACACATCTGGGAAACCGACCTATAGCTCTGTGAATTTTAGAAAGTTAAAAAGTTTATGGCGGTGACAATGGTCCGATTTGGAATATTTTAGTCTTTTCTTTTTTTGTTCAGATATCTTGTGAAAGTGAGAAACGCGATAACCTCGTTTGTAACGAGTTTAAGTACAAAATCAACAGGTTTGTTTCAGGCACAAGTGTTTCTACAGGTAGACTGTATGTGTGTGTGTGTTTGTTTCCTGACCTGCATGCTTTTTTTTTGGTGGTTGTCTTTATGCGCATTCTCTCAGAAGGGTGTTTTAAACTATACTCGCTCTCTTCAAACTGCTCTATCTGTGCTCTTTCTTGGCTTCAACTCTTTTCCATGTACCCTTTCTTTACCCACAGGAGGAAGGAGAGACAGACACCAAGTTAGTGCAGTGAATGATAATATAGCCGCTGCAGTTGCTTTCTAACCACGTGGAATGTGATTATAGCCTTTCCCATCGCTCTGGTTTATGATTACCAAAGGCATGCTTACACCTCTTTGAGCTAACCCTCACATTCCTGCTCATCAACTTACAGTACTTGTTTATTCCCAGGTCCAAACAAACCGTGAAACACTGTAAATAATCAATGTCTGATACACCGCAGGACGCCCGGCGAGGGTCAGCTCGCGGCGCTCATTCATATTCTCGGTGGCTCCGTGTTAGCTAATACCGTGTTTACACCCAGTGCAGCCGGGCCTGTCAGCACACCGGGCTTCTTCAGTGGCCCGGCTCTGCATCTGTTAGGCTCCATCTGCTACTGGTGTCAGTTTGTTTATTCAAGGCCAGTCTAATCACTGCCAGTGTAGTCTGCTTTGGCTAAGAATAGCCTGACTTGTGCTTTCTTTGATCACACTTCAACTGCACTCAATGGACACGCTCACATGCGCGCACGTAAACACGCAGTGAAACGAATTGCGCGCACTTGGGTTTTTTTTAAAAATCAAACTGACGCACAGTTTGTTTGAGACAGCACTTATACACTAAGCTGCGCATGTAAACACTCAATATAAATATTATTGCATCTAGAGTGCCATCAAATTACCTTTTGGAGGGAAAGACGGCGGCTTTAGCTCGACAGCACGTTACTCCCACCTTGTGGTGAAAGTTGGCTTGTGTCACTCTCATCCTTCACTTACTATGCAGTGTTTCATTTCATCATTTTAATATAGCACATCTAATTCTCCTTCACTTTGCTTACTGGCATTCATCAATCCCCTTTTTTTTTAAAGACATTTCATGTATTTTCATGAACTGCCTGACATTGATTTTGTGGTTTTCCTCTCTAATAGTGAGCCACAGACAATTCCTAAGTAAGTACAGATGAGAGCAGTTAAAAAACAAACTCCTCATATAACCACTGTTCTACCTAGCACTTATGTGACTTTAAATGTGGGATCATTTCTGTCTTTGTGCATTTTTTCCTCTCTACATTCCCACTGCTCACCTGCAGAACTCCACCTCCAACTAGACCTAGGAGGTAATCAAGTAGCTGTTAGGTCGTATTTTAAAACACCTATCTATGTGCTGCACTTTTGATTGGTTGTGATTGAATGTAGAGCACTTGTTGCACGATAGGAATGTGTGTTACGTGTACTGTGTGTGTTGATTGCTATTAATGAGAGTTGTGTGTGTCTAAACAGGAACATTCTTATCCTGAGGTATAAGGGGTGGTGTTGAGGTGGAATTTAACTAGTCGACATATTTAGATTGTTAACATGTGCAAAACAATTACCCTCCATCTTGCTCTCCCTGCCCATTTCCCTCCCAAGTTCTACTATATGTTTGTACTCTGTCCTGTGCATGAGCATAATTGTACACACGACATGCTGGAACAGTGTTTTGTGGTTTTACAGAGCCAGGACTGCGTACAAACACTGTATTTGTTTTTCAGTGCACACGCAGAGCAGAAGCTGGCAAAATGAGCAGAAACTCCCTAAATTGGACATAAAGTCTTAAGGATTAGAACTGCATATTCCACCTTTTAACCTCAGTGATTAACAACAATTTAAAAATTGAGTTGAGCTGTGATGTTCTCATCGGCACATCTTTCCATGTCTCTAATGTCGTTCCTTGTTTGATCTGGATGTGCAGGAAACCCGGTATGGAGCCTGAGAATAACGCATCTCTGCAGAACGACTCCAGCAAGAAGCGTCTGATTGAGGACACGGAGGACTGGCATCCGCGAGCGGGCACCGGCCAGTCCCGCTCCTTCCGTATCCTGGCCCAGCTGACCGGCACTGAGAACGGTGCGTGTCGAGCTCAGTATATGTTAATGAAAACTTTGCGCAGAGACCTGTGATTTCGAAAGTGCTGAAACTAGTTGAATGTTGTTTTAGGAATTAGGAAGTATTTTAAGGCTTGCCTTGCCATGGCTGTCACTGTTAAATCACTGTAGGATCACAGATTTATCCAAAAATTAAAATATCAGGGGTATCTTTTACAACATATTTTCAATAGAACTGACTTGTATTTTTCTCTCTGTTTATTCATCTTATTTTCTTCCAACGCTCCATTGCCTCTGCAGATTGTAGTGATTTCGTAGCCTCTTAGAGAAAAGCTTTAATCTTACGTGATTGACTTATTATTTTATGTGACTGTTTTGACTGTAAGTGACACTTGATGTTACTTGAGAAGGCTGCGGTTCTGGGCCTCGCTCCACCTCTCAGAGTTGTGTGTGTGGATCTGTTCAGATGATGCAAATTGACATTCACAGTAATTCGCTTGAATGATGTAAGATGACAGAATTGTCTTCTCTCTTGTTGCCAGACTGGTGTGAACTGTGCAATGTGTTTCGAAAACTTGATGCGTATTCAGTCTGCTTGGTGTTTCTGCAGCTGTGAGCAATCAGGGAACAGTCCAAAAAGGTGCTATTAGAGGGCTAGTTTGCCGGGATTACATTTGTTCACTTAGTTCTTACTATGACAAGGAGAACCTAGACTGGACTGGAGCAGGAGTAAAGCTGCAATGAGTAGTGTTATTGTTCCCAATGACCATTTATTTGACTTTTGACTTCTTTTTTTTTCCTTCTTCACTGTTGCAGAACAAATTCCAGAGAACAGTGGAAAGAAGTAAGTGGTTGGTGGTTTTTTAAAATTTGCTATGTGCATGTGAATATTCTATGTCTGTCCTGGTCTTTCTCACTGTCTGGATGTGCATTTTTAAGTACTTTTGCAGGAAGTAATGCGGTAGTGTTCTCGGATCGGTACTGTTAGAATAATTTCTTCATCATGAAGGTTTCAGATTCAGAGTTGGCCCTCGAAATACTCGCATAAGCACATCCAGGGGCCTGCGACTTAGAGTAAAGCCCTGATTTCCTGATCTTATGCTCCGACAGTATCAGGCTTAATTTAAGGCTCAATGTGGACAGACCACATTCGGAGCTCTAAGAGGAAGATGGCTGAGCGGCGGCAGCCCCAGACTCGGCCTAGGCTGTGATTGCTGCTTCTGTTCTCAGTCTGAAGTCGATCTAATCTGCCGTAAGTACAGTCTGCCCCGCGTACCAGATCCCCAACCAATCAGTGTGTCACTCACTGGAAGCCGTGGGTAATTAAGTGGTATTGTGGGTAACAGCGGCCCTGCCAGGAGGAGATTCTTGCTACCCTTCTGTTAGTGAGATTTTATCCGGTGTACTTTTCCTACAGAGTGAGCAAATATGAGGTGACGTGACGCAGAATGGGTACAAACACCCGGTTAGCCACCTGACAGACTGGACCTTTCCTGCATGTTATTCATCTGCTTTCTTCTCCCTACATGAAGAGGGAGAGCAAAAATTAGAAGTCTGCCTTGGTGTAGAAATCAAAGTTTGTCTGCGTTTTCTGTGTTTTTCTATTTTTCCAAGCTGCTACTTTTTCATTCATCTTTTACTTTGTTTCTCATATTTTTATTTTCCAACATTTCCCTTCTTCTTCTCTCCCCTTTCTTCTTAAATCCTGTCTTATGGGTCAAATCAGAGTGAACAAGTTGGACCCAGAAGCTATAGGACACATGTACAACAAGCTGAGAGACTGGCATCATGACGTTTCAGCACGAGTGTTAAATGTGTAATAAAAAAAAAGGGATCGCTTTGTTTTGTTCAATGTTTTATTTAATTTTGGGCATCGTTAAACTCACATGTTACATACCAGCACAATATAAGGCCTTTGTTTGGCAAGACACCTGTTAATGTCCAGTTCCAAAACGACAAGAAAACAAACCCTGTTTTTTGGTAAATTATATCTTCATTATTTAATATATTTAAAAATGTAAATTAAAAGCTTGCATGAAAGTAAATATGTGTGATTAAAAATGCAGCATCACGTTATTTTGTAGTGTGTATTTATGGATTTCTGTAGCATATTGTTGATCTCTGAGCCTCCACTTTCCTTCGTTTTTCTCAGCATGTCTGTATCATGTTCCTTTATTTTCTACACTAACCGAAGCCATTTCATTGTCTGCTTTTTATGACTTTACCTCAATAAACTGCTTTTTCTTTACTGCTTTTGCTTATTTCCCAATCTTTTTCTTCTTGCTGGAAAAAGTCAACGTGACATTTAGAAGTTTGATATAAGATATACGATGTGAAAGAATCAGTTGTGCATGAAGAGTCAAATCTGAAATGCCTTTAGTGTTTTGAATTGAGGAATGAGTCACTGATTTACCGTGTCAGTACCATCCAATATGAATTAGTTATAAGAAGTAGTTCTCAAAGCACTGTTCATACCTTTCAACCAGCATTCGGTGTGTCTCTTCGCTTTTACTGCGTCCGTAAGTTAATGATTATTCAAACAGAAACTCATAACAGACTGGATAAGAGAGCGAAAACGAAAATAAAGATAAGATCAAAACCACGACAAACCAATAAACCCACAAATCTGTTGCTGATGGCACAATAGACCTTTTGCAGTGAGCTGTAGCAGGAAATCCAAAACACTTCAGGGTGACAAATTGCTAACCTGTTGATGCAAAGCCTTCGCTTTGCCCTGGGCAACAAACGCGCCTACTTCAGGGCTGCTGAGTGATCGTGTCATCGCCTGGTTGATTGGGATCTCCTGCCATCGAAAGCTATCATCGTACAACTCAATGTTTGGAGGGTTGCTTCCAGTAACATGATGGATGCTTCTGAAGGGAGAGAAGTGCAGATGGCCCCGGCCTTGAAGGGAAAAGCTGTGAAACTTTACAGGGAAAAGACTCTTAACATTTTGCACCGTCATGGGAAAACACACCAGCACTGCCTCAAGTGTGTCTGTTTGTTGAAGAGAATCAAAGCTGCCTCCTCTTAATGGGCCTACTTAAGTTACAGCATTGGTTTTGTGCTGCTGCTAAATGTTGACGATGAAGGAAATTATTGGAGGGGGGAGTTAGCATGGCATCACCCCCTGTAATTGTTACCTCATGTCAGTAATTACAAAACCATATGGACAGTAGGCAGCGGCGCATATTCTCATTTGAAAGCACTTCATAATTGTGTTGGGTCTTTTGCCATTAAATTGTGACCAACAGATTGTAAATTTTTAGTAACTGCAGCGGAAAAAGCTGCAGTTGACCAGGTCACACTAAGCAGTTGTTTGAACTCGAGGTTTTAGTCGAATTAGTGGCGCAACACTGCTGCTAGATTTTCTGTATTATTAATGGATTTACTGCCTCTGAAACATGGAGGGTTGGTGTTTTATTAGTCAGGCAGAAAGAGAAGCTCCAACATGTACAGTTTAATAAGAATGTGCAAATGTTTGTATGTCTGTGTGTCTTGTCATGAGTTATGATTTATACCAAGTGATTTACCTGTTTCCTAGTGAGGCACTTGACAAAGCCGCTCCCACTGTGCACACATCGCCTGCAGCCAAGACATTTTCCAAATCTGCAGCAGCGCCCAGGAACGGCAACGTCGCCCCTGCGTCCGCATTTCAGAGCCCTCCGGCCCCGAGCAAAGCCCTGCCTGGAGGTCTACCAGGTATACCTCACAGAAATCCACACCTGTCCTGTTATTTCCTGCCACTTAAATACATCTGCCCCTGCAAGGAACATTTATTTTACTACGCGTAGTTGCCGCTTTTAGCCTCCAGAGGGCAACCCCGTTCTTCTAAAAAACCCCGCTGTTCGCTCATAACGTTTATAGCAGGTTTAATACTTGACACTAAGCCATTTAAGATTATGAGCTCTATAAAAACCAGAGGTATTCAGTTAATGAGCGCAGATTATTGGCTTTTCCCAAGATCCCCTCAGTCAAATAGTTTGAGAAATTGAGAATTATGGATTTTATTTTGAGTGAAAGCGGCTCTTTAAATACAACGATGCCTGCCACGAGACCCCGAGCTGGTCAAGGTAAATAGTTGCTGAAAGGCATCAGTCAGGGGTCATTATTAGCAGCACTGTGAGACACAAGCATGCTCTCAGACATGAACAGATGCACTATGCGCTCTCTCACATTTCCCCGGATGCCTATTAAGAAACGGCTGCTGAAAGGTGCCACAGGGAGAGAGCAGAAGAGGACACAGTTGGTTCTCTGTTGGCTGTTTTTTTCTTTTTCATCAGATTAGCACATACTTGAGTTCAAGTAAACAAGAAAGTATCTTGTAGTAGCCACGTGGAGGAGATTCGGCTCTGTATGTAAAATGTGCCACACCACGTTTATATTTAGTGCCATTAGTTAGTAGTTTTGGTCATTTAACTGCCAGCACCATTTAAAGAGGCAAATTAGCACAATGTTAAGGATTGATTTTGATTTTTTTTTTTGGTGTGTGGATCAAGTGGCAACGTCCTGGACTAAAAAATAACACTAATGTCAGAGTCACCAACTGTAGTTCCTCGAATGGCCACTCGAGGCTGAACCCAAAAGCGAGTCAATCCTTATAGCGTTCATGTTAAAATGCATAATTTAGCATCAGAAATAAACATGTTTACAGCCTGCAACCAACAATGGTTTTGGTCTCGATAGCTAATATCCCCATCATTGCAATTGTGCGAGGGGTGATTTTCATTTTTTTAAAAATTAAATTAAGGCTTTGAGCTTTAGGGGTGTTGCCATTTTAAGTGACAGGAGGGTGCTGCCACAGGACTGCACATGGAGATGTTTCATGTTCTGCATCAGCTCCCCTCATGTTCCATCTCTTTGTCTTTAGCTGAAAGTTAGGCCGTGTAGTGCAAGATGCCAACACCAGAGCCACAATGCTGAGCCTCAAAACTGCCAGAGAGGCGTTTTCTGAAACTGTACAGAGTGAAAAGACAAAATCAAAGACCCAAAACAGTGTGAGTTTAGGGGCTACTGTAGCTCTAGAGTTGTAAAAGACGAACAGCACTGGTACCATCAGAGTCCTCAAATCTTTCCTCAAATGCCATGTGTGTAATTTTAAAGGCCTCCTTCAGATTATCTATACACCGCTTAATCCTCACTGGGGTCGCGGGGGGGCTGGAGTCTATCCCAGCTGACTCAGGGTGAAGGCAGGGGACACCTTGGACAGGTCACCAATCTATCACAGGGCCACACTTAGAGACAGACCTCCTTCAGATTAAGACATAAAAATCCAGTGCTTGTATAATAATTTGTGTCAGTTTTCTACAAACATGTTGTCAACTAGGTAAAGATTGGCCTCATCTCCCTTTTATAAAATTCCAGAATCCCTCTCTGAAAAGTCCTTTCTTAGTGTCTATTCATGGGTTGGTTCAAATTTTTTTTTTTAAATCTCCATATGGGAACCCACATGACTCCTGGGCTAGCTGTGATTTATGAAGATCATGCATTGAGATATTTACGTGTTTTATTCAATAGCAGATAAATGTGAAACCAGCCGGTTGGTGTCACAACCCGCTCATACATCATGCTGCACAGTGAAGCTCAAACATCAGGAGCAAGAACAAAAATGTTAGCGTGCATGGTGGAGTAATCATTTTAAAGATTCTGTAGGGGGCTTTAACCAAATACATATATGATTTGTCAAATCGTCCTCTAGTGTCTTATATCATTCGTCCGCATGACTCCTCCAGTATTTTTCCTCCTGTTGAACCCAGAGTCTTCTACAATCCCCGCTGGTGTCCTGTTATGTTTTCTCAGTTCCTCTGTTCTCCGTTACAAGGAAATTTAGGGAGCACTTGTCCCTTGACCTCCACAAGCCTTTGATAATGGTGCTCGCTTTCAATAGTGCGTCTGTCCCCAATCCCCGTACCCTCGGGGCACTCCCTCTGGGGGTGACGTCCTCCATCCTGGATGTGTTTTTGCACCGAGAAAAAAGAAGGAAAAACTGTGCATCCTCTCCAAATATTTTCAGATGAAAGGAGGGGGGGATTATTTTTCCAGGTGTCTTGGAATTTGTTGTTTCCTTCCATTGGAAAAATTGATCCCATGCCTCGGCGAGGTGGGAGTGGCTCCGTCCAACCCTGCTCTCTCATTCTTCAAGCATGGAGGTCATCGAATCAGTCACAGTCTGACAGCATGCAAGGAATCTCTTCCTTTCTAGAAACTCTAAGAAATAATTAGGTAGTGGATTGGTTGATGGTAAAATGCAATTATTATTTGTTTTTTCTATTCTGAAATGTAAATTTGGTCTCGAGTTTACTCTTATTTGGCGAGGTATATTCCATTTAGATACTGACCCATGTTGTTGCTGGTTTAGGTTTTCCTAAGGGTGGTGTAGGTCCCTCCTTTGGCAAAGTTGCCAATCCTCCTTCCAAAGCTTCAGACCGGCCCACTCCACAGCCACATCCACAGGATCTCAACTCCCTGGTGCAGCGAGCCGAGCACATCCCAGCTGGTACTCGCACCCCCATGTGCAACAGGTGCAACAATGTCATCAGGTATGAAAAAAACAAAAACATGTTTCAGTGAATTTTACAAAACTGAGCATGATGTTTGTCTAAAATCTAAAAAGCTCAGTCAGAGTTTCATTGAGTCCTCTGTCCCCTTGCTTGTTCCCACCAGGGGCCCTTTCCTCGTGGCCATGGGCATGTCGTGGCACCCCGAGGAATTCAACTGTGCTCACTGCCACTCCTCTCTGGCAGACCGTGGATTTGTGGAAGAGAAGGACCAGGTGTACTGCGAGCGCTGCTACGAGCAGTTCTTCGCTCCCAGCTGCGCCCGCTGCCAGCAGAAGATTCTCGGGGTGGGCTGCAAAACTAAACGGAAATCGTTCTCTGCCTTTGTCGTCCTTCACTGTTTGATATCACTTAAAGCCTTGAAGCAGAGGATGTTTAATGAAATGTACTGTGTAAAAAAAAAAAAAGTAAATTGTCTTCATGTAATCACTTGTTTAAAGCTGCTCTCTTGGTCACAGTAAAACATATTAAGGCTGGTTGTTTAGCAGCTATCAGTCTGCTAACATTAAAGTAGTGTGATATTAGGAAATGCAGTTTAATACACATAGAAAGCAACGTAATAATTATAACATGAGGAGGAAAACAATATAACCTTCGGAGTCTAGCATTTTAAGTCCAAAAACAATGTTTACTTACTTCAAAGTATGTGATCATAGTAGAACTATGTAATATTCATATACATCCTGTTCCTCATGTATTTGTGTTGATATTTTCACTGCAGGAAGTCATGAATGCCCTGAAGCAGACCTGGCATGTGTCCTGCTTCGTCTGCGCAGCCTGCCAGCAGCCAATCAGAGGCAACATGTTTCACATGGAGGACGGACAGCCGTACTGTGAAAAAGGTGCAGCGTGCAGCCACCGACACTAAACAAGGTCTCGCAAAGAAAACCCATTTGTTCAAACAGACTAACATTTTGTCACTGCTCTGCTCGCTCAGACTACTACAACCTGTTTGGGACCAACTGCCACGGCTGCGACTTCCCCATCGAGGCCGGGGATCAGTTCCTGGAGGCTCTAGGGTTCACCTGGCATGACACCTGTTTTGTGTGTGCGGTAGGTTCAGGAAGCAAGTTTTTTTTTAATCCATAAATTGGTAAATACTGCCAATGCTGTGCGAGTAACAACACTGCTTTGTACATGTTTGGCTCTCTGAACAGGTCTGCTCCACTAACCTGGAGGGTCAGCCGTTCTTCTCCAAAAAAGACAAGCCTCTGTGCAAGAAGCACGCCCACACTGTCAACATCTGACCCGCTCCTCTGAGTACAAACAAGATCAGGCCACAGCGTCTGTTTGCAGCAATTTCTATTTCAATCAGATGTTAAATATTTTCAGAATTAAAAATGAGCTGGTTTACCTGTTTGTGTATTCTGTTAGAATATCAAAGATTCCACTGTAAGCTTTTTGTTTTTGCTTTAGTATGTTATATCACTTTTTTGTTGTTGTTTGTAGAATATGCAGGAGTACATATAAATGCACTGTTAGCCCCCTTTTTCCAGTTCAATATCTGTGCAAGCGGGTTTTTAAAACACATGTTTGTGCTGGGTTTTTAGTTCAAGTGTTGAACTCTTGATGAGCATTTTTGTTTAAGGCAAAAGAAAAAAAAAAAGAGGGTTAACCACAGTTACCTACTGAGCCCCGTGGGGGTCACATATTATCGACATTGAAAGCTATGCCATGTATTAGTAAAGCGAATGCGAGGTTTAGAAATTAGAGTTATTTAAGTTTAAGGAGGAAAAATATTTATTTGCAAGCAGGGATCGCTCAGTCAATGTGTTCTGACAACAAAATGGTAAATTTTATTATTAGTATTATTATTTTTTTATTGTTTTGAAAACTATGTGGTATTTAATCTTTCACACTAAATGACAGCACCGGTTAGTAATGTTTATAAAAGCGTGCAAATTTAACGTTGCTTTGACGTTAATGCATCCAGGAGTGTTTTAAAAAGGGCTCTCCGTATCGAGAAGACAGATCAAGTAGCGACGATTTTTGCTGTTTATTTTGTAACGTCAGGATCAAAACGGTTGTGCTTCCATCCACACGAAATCGTATTCAAGGAGCTCCTCGCAATAAGATGCATTCTTTTTATTTTGTGGTAAAAACATCTCTGAGGACCTGAACCCTCCACAGTGTTTAGTGCCATCAGGACTTTGTCGTGTTGCTCTCACTGATTATGATTTTGGTGGAATCTGCTCAAATAATACAAACCAATTCTAATATATGCTTCCAGAAGTTCTGCTGCAAGTTATTCTCTGTTTTTGCACAGTTTTTATGTATCCATTTCAAACAATAATAATAAAAAAAGAGTTCATCATTGAATACCCACAACCGCAGCTCTTGAATGCAGCTGCTTACTCGCATTTTCTTTCTGCTCTTTGGCTGACGCTGGACTGAAACATTTATCAGCTTGTGTATGTTGTGTGTACTTTTTTTTTTTATGTGTTTGTCGATTCGTGGAAAGCACTGCAGGGAAGAGGTGATGTATTATAAATCTGCAGCAGTGACAGTAATTATTCAGAGGAGTTTAAGAGGCAGGCAGACAGGCACCAGCATGAGCTGCCTCATACACTTAACAGGCAATAAGATGGAAAAGTACACATCTCCATAGGGATGGAAGAAACAACACTTAGTGGATCCTTTCTTGCCTAATAACTGCTCCATTATATGCAATCACACAGTTGAGGGGTGACAGACAACACGTATAGTGTCTTGAATTGTTGTGGGAGTGGAGAGAAGAAAAAAAAAACTTTGAATGACTTTATTGACGTGCACTTCTCCAAGACGTCGGAGGTGGGAGCTGTGCGCAAAAAACCACACGAGGGTTTTTAACCAGCCTCAAATAACCCGTGAAAGCCTCCACTTGGAAAACTCTGCCACAAGACAGGAGGACACATACAAATAAAAGACACAGGAGTCCGAATCGAGACCAACTGGGATCTTGCTGGGCTGCTTTTTTTTTTTTTTGACGCGTAAAAGGAGACGGTAAGGATGCTTTGGGAAGAAAACAAACCAATTCTTTGCTTGTCAGTGTCGGAGCGCAGTTTGAAGCTGCAGCAAAACGCTTCATGCTGGTCCCGACCTTCCGTCAGCGGAGCCGGAGGGGTCCGTGATTTGTTCTGTTCATTAAGATTCATGTGAAGCTCTTGAGCGACTACTTTGCGCCGGGGTTTGATGCTGGCAGCTGCTGGCGGCGATCAGCGGGACTCCAGACTGTTAGCGCTGGAGTCTGCGGTGATGGTGATGATGCTTATCAGTAATTGGTGCTGCGGTTGTGGTTTAAGCACATTTAAGTGTCTGACGTGAGGAGACAATCGCCTGAAAGTTGTGCTAAGATGAGATGGAGTTGAATTTGAATGATGTGACTGTGATTTGATTATTGGAACAGCTGGAAGTAGTGAAGGTCTGTCCAGGTGAGTATGTTGTGGAGCTCAGGATGTTTTCTTTTGTGCTTTGAATCACATTGCAAAAGATGTATAATCCAAGGCTTGTGCTCTTTTAAAAACATGATCTGCATAAATTATAATGTTGTTTCTTATATTATAGCATCCTCATCACTAGACACAGTTTGTCCTGGAGTTGCTCTTGTTCAAACTTCTCAGTTTCTCTCCCTAAAGTTGATTGACTGACAAACTGTTTCAGCTCCATGTGCAGATACAGATCATGATTGAAAGCTCCTAAACTGACACTGTTTTCATCTCCTGATTGATTTGATATTTCAGGATAGCTGTGCTCACTTGTCAGCGAGGATTCAGATAATGCTCATCACTGCAGATTGATCTGATTGCATACAGTGCTGGGGAAAATGTGTAACTGTGAGGGGTCGACCCATATGTTTTTTATTTTTTACTGATTATTAGTAATGCCTTTGTCACTGATATGCAATTACAAAAATGAACATTTTGGTGTCAAAATTTAGAAGAATACTAACTCCAATACATTTTTTTTTAACATTTGTTCAGTTGAAAGAGGACTTTTTTCTTTCGTATCCTGTAGTGCTGACAGACTAGTCCTCGTGACGCCTAACATTTCAACTAGTGCTGCGAGCGAAACCACAGAGTGACTACAAACAGAGAGAGGCGGCTCCATCTGAGTCAAAGTAGTTTGGATTTAATTTGATGATTTTAATTTGATAATCACTTCAAATTACACAGATTATCTGAAACAAACTATCGATCATCCAGGCTGATAATCAGTCTAGTGTTAGAACTGGTCAGTGCATCGTGGCGTGGGAGCTGTGACAAGGCTTCACAAACGAATGCATGACAGAAATCCACTGTGTGTCCCAAAGTTGACATCAACCCGATGATTGCATGAGCATCTGAGATCCCAGAGGGAGCAGCAGCAGCAGCACAACCTGCTGCATCTTTCACAGTGATCTGTGGTGCAGTCCTGGAATGCACCGACAGCCCCTCTAACTCTCTGCAGGACAGAGAGGCTCATTGAGGTGCGGCCGAGTGAGTGTTTTGGGGTAATATTAAACACAGAGAGAGTGATCAAACCACCGACACCACCCACTAGCTGCTGCCCCGGCTCTGCCCCTGACAGGAGTCACGCCTGTCCTGAGGCGTACACGGTGGGGATGGCATGTCAAGTGAGGGTTCCTGGCAAGGCAGCTCTTTGTGGTCTACCGCAGACTCTTGCTTCAAGTGTTTCAGTGTGTTGTGCTCTCTTGGCACTGATGGCGAACACAGGGTGTGTGTGTGTGTTCTTGTTGGGTCAGTTATGGTAGTAGGCTGGCCTCTCTGTTAAAAGTGCCAGAGCTCTGTATGCAGAGTAATGTTGGCTAATAGTAACACAGGAAAGTTTGATGGGTGCACATGTGCAACGCGGCTCGGTGAAAGTATGGCTGCAGAAAAATCCTGCCTGGAGAGACTCATGAATATAATAGCCCTCCCCTTGAAAAACGATTGCAGGAGGACACCTTTTTTCTTTGACTGCTGCCCTTTTCGGCAGGCCTAAACACACACAAACACCTCGGCACAGACACACACACACCCTCTGACGCACAAACAAACACTCTTGATCTTGGTAGATACAGCCCCGATTCTGGGTTTGTCCACAGGGCTAAACTTAGCAAGCTGCGACCCCTCACCCCGGTTTCCTCCCTTATAATTACAGGAAGCGAGTCCAGCCAATCGGGGCAGAGATATTTGCTGCATATTAACAAGCTCAATAGAGGCAGTATTTGAGGAGTAGACAGGTAATGGGGGGGAGAGGTTTTCGCCAGAGCGACTGCAGAGGCTGCAGAAGAGAAGAAAAGCAACACCAAAAGATTGGAGTTTATCACCTCACACTCATGTAACGCGAGCAGAGTGTCTGTCAGGCGGCAAATGGTCGAGCTGCAGAGACACAAGAGGTTCAGTCCCAGACAGGCTTTTTGCTCAATGTCTTTTCCAGGTGTCTGGACGTTATATTTCTTTCTTTTTGCACACACTGATAGCGGAGCATCTCATATCGAGTCTTTCCACAGGTATGAGCTTCCCATCTGTCGTTCACATTTCTTGTCTGCTATTCCAAACCAACGCTAAATCTCTCGGTTATATTTTTTATATTTTCTTTCTTGTGCTTGCTTTCCTCTCAGACAGATTTCTGGTGGACAGGCTAAAAACTGCATCATCATTTTTGCAACTATAAAAACTGTCCTTATGATCAAAGTTAGATTTTTGCTCCAATTCGATCCCATCAACCTAGAAGTACAGGTGTTCTAGCTTCAAGTAATCTCCTCCTCACCTGTTGGCTTCCCCGACTCTTTAACTATCGCTGCTCACACAGCACATAAGTGCAGATGCGCCCGCTTTCAGTCTCATCTGATGAAAGACAAATACAGGCCAAAACAGGAATTATCTAAAGCTGCAAGCTGCTGTGCCTGGAAGGTCAGCCGCCGTGCGAGAGAAAGCCGACATCCTGTTATTAGAGAAAGAGAGGGGCATAAAAAAAAAAGGAGAAAGACGTACAGGATGAGTGGAGAATGATTGAAGATCGAAGAAAACAGAAGAGGATAGGGGGTACTTTGCATGATTGGGTTTAGAGTCAAAGCCAGAAAATGGCCTGAATTTAGTATCAGTTCTTTCTTTCATAGATGGCAGACATATGAGCTCCTGCTAATAACTTTTTTTTCTTCTTCCAGAGAGAGAGAGACAAGTGCAGGAGCTCTGGCTGGGTTCAGTGACAGGATGCTTTCCGTTGCACTATGTTTGCATGGTGAGTCTCATTTATCAGTCTGACCGACTCCTATCTTATTTTTTAATCTTTATTTCCAATAAATTGAATGACATAATACATGTTTATTCGTATTGACAACTCACGAATGTTGAGTGCTTTCACTTGATGCTCCGATAATGAAGACGCTGTAACCCAAAGCTAAAAGCCGTATTGATCAAGATGGACCCAATGTTGATTCTCCTGCAGTCAGTAGGTGGTATTCAGCAGCACACGTCATGTCTGTTTTTTGAGACCATAATGCCGTCTGTGCAGCAATTTGCCCCTAAAGTGGAAGGCTAATTGACTTTCTGCTGAGCATGTTGATAGGCTATGTAAAACAAACCGCGCGGGCCACAGTAGAATCCTGTTTTCTAAAGTTTCAGGCCAGACACCGGCTCCTTCCACTGGGCCGGAAATGAACAAGATCAACTTCTGATAGAGTGCAGTAAAATGTTAGAAACTCTCGGGAGCTTTCACCTGAGTCATTTACCATAAGAGCGCAAAGCTTCCAGCATGAATCATGTTTGAAAATCAAGACTTTATTGCTGCAAAATGTTGTTTTATATTGCAGCTGATTGCACAGTTTTTTATAACAGATTTTTTTTCTGCATTATTCAAACATTATTTCGACCCTTTATGGTGAAATATGAGCGTCGCAGCACAAAGAATCCTTGTTCGTCTCTGATGAATCCATGGATACATTGTATATTTTCGCCCCTTGATTTCTGCAGCGAGCTGGCGGGCTGCATCGTTTAATTAGCATTCCTTTAACATTAAGCAATGAACTTGCCACTACAAGACCCATCATAAACCGAAAAATATGCTGACACAGCTCCGCCGCCGAGGCTGCGCTCGGCGTGTTGTACAGTCGGGGAGGGGAAATAGACTTACTGTACATAGAGGAGGACAATAGCGGCCTGTATATGTGGGAGAAACTGGCTCAAACTCCTTCTGTGACAGTGACCTGCTGGCCGGGGGGAAGCAAAGAGCGCCAAGGCCCAGCACCGGTTTGAGTAGGAGAGTAACTCACACCCGTAAAGAATGTCAAGAATCCGTGTGTTAAAGTTCACACTGTATCACCATCTGTGGCTGGATCCTGGCAA